TTAATGGCGAGATAACTGAACTGCAATGCTTTGAACGAATTCCCAAATGATAACTCCATCGAGCTTGCCGAATACATTGACATCACCTTGGATCATGAATGGAATCGTCGTGTCGTTGACATTGAGTTGGATTGAAAGAAATCTACAGAGCAACAAAGGATTGTTGTCACGTTGCTGACGCCAGCACCGGTGCTGAATTTGATATTGGCCTACTCGATGGAACAATAAAGTTTGTCAAAAGGACCTTGTGGACTTGGTACAGAGGGTTAAATGGATGACAAACGATTTTGCATATACATTTAGAAAAACAGCTGCCTTTTCACGAATTTGGCTGCTGTTCATATTGCCGCTGCAAATCTTGAACCTAATGAATGACATCAAATTTGTGAAGTTGTATGTAAATCAAAGATTTTGGCGGTGGCTCATAACCATAAGTACTTGTTGACCCATGCTATTTTTAAAAACGAAATGAAGGCTGTCGCTGTCTGTTTACTGTATAGTCAGCAAAGCTGGTGAATTTGTAAAGCAGAATAATTGATCGAAGGACTTTACAAGTTAAAGGTATTGATTACGCTGTAAATTTCGGTCCAGTTCATCGGTATGAGTAGGTCGTACTTTTTGCTGCCGTTGCATGATCACTGTCAGTGAAAGATTTTCAAATATAGAAAGGACTGGATTTTTTCAAGGTGATGACGACGCTCAAAATTAAATCGATAAACGTACTGCATTTGCGTTTGATGAATAACTTGAGATTCTTTCAAAGTTACCGAAATAATTCATAAACTGAAAATTTCACGTCTTTGATAATACAAAGGAATGGTTAAACCTCTCCAAACCTTTGAATTTGAAACAGCTTCAGCAGAGGACGCTGAGCATTGTCACTCAACTAAAATCCACCACTGCTTGGAAGGAATATATTTCAATGCTGTTATCATTGCCGGATCAACAGACGCAATGGTCAAGTAATTTAAATCATATCATTGTGCGAAGGTCAAAATGAAATATGTTGACCTAATGCCAAGTTGCTCTTTTGACTGGATGTTCAGCAATGTAACAACAATATCTCGTTACCATTGATAACTTACGGGAGACTGGTGGTTCAACAGAATAAAAATGAGGAATAGCATTTGATTGCCACAACAATGATGAATAACCAATACAAGGAGTAACATGAAACAGATTGCTCTCAGATCGATGCTCACAGGTCACCAATTTCCAGATGAATTTTAGGATCCGCCTTTTCCACTGCTAACTGTTTGCTGTAAGATATCGCAATAATTTTTGGGTAACTGAGCTGATATTTTTGTTTGACATTCAAGTTCCACCTTTAATGTGCTAAATGACTGTTAAATCATTTGAACATAGGTCATTATATGCTCTCTATGTCTCAAGGATTTAGTTGACTCAAACGAATACTCTGAGTGTCACTTGCTTGGACGCATTGCTTATGTAGAATCATTTGGTATCCATATGTTCCTCAATATGCGAAAGACTGAATTGAAACTCAAAAACGCAGGCTTCAGTGGCCTTGCAAAATTGGGATGCTGAGTAGAGTTTGCTCACTGAAGCGGATAAAGAATTTCTGGATCTAATGAACAACTTCTATTAACTGGACATCTATTCATAAAGGAATTATAAAATGCGATAAAGGTTCTGCTATCGACTTGGCTACCCTTCCAACCAATAACTGAAACTCCAAGCATACTACAATTAGATATTACTTTATCATGGAGTTGAGAAATGTGGCTATTGGGCTGGCACGACGCCAAAATAAAATCCCCGTTGCTGATATAATCTCGATGTAGCCTAGCGATTCGGTGTTCAAAGAGCTCAACGAATTTTTTCAATGATTATTTTGTTCTGCTTGTTGCTCATTTCTTTGCTCTTGTTGGATTGGTTTAATCAGCCTATTAATATTGGCTTGAGTGACTGCTGGCCATTTCGATTTACAACAGATACCAACTCATTTTAATGCAGCTGCTCATTTCCAGCTGCGAAATATTACACTTGGACCACTCAGTAGTTGAATTCACATATGCTCTGGTTATTTTTGATTATGTGATCCATTCAATATAATTTATCATGTGTAATTATATAGCAGCCATGAAGTGTAATGGGAACAGTCGTTCGGATCAATGGATGCAGCCAAAGGCCCGAACTGACGAACAAAAGAGATGTGTCTGTAATACCTTTGAGAGACAAAGTACAAGAACTCACTCTTTCTCAATGGAGAATAAATTGGTGAGTGTTCGTTTGTGCAACGCACATGTCAGAATTTTAAAAGCACTACTTTTGCTACCGCAAGATGTTTTCATTTGAAATGCGGTGGTTGAAATTTGAAGCTCCTTCACTGTCCTTATGACCGGATGGTTGGAGACAATAAGTTGTCTCCAGTGTCGCTATCCAGTTAGCCAACGCACATATTCCTTTGAAGCTAGTTTACAATTTTGGATCAGGTAGAACCCATCATTTCAGCTCTTTGAACTAATTTAACTGGGGCGGTTTTGAGCCTTGCAGAGTGTTACAGCAAGTCCTTCGATATCTCTCTCCTGTCCGCTGCCGTTACTATTTCTAATCGAACCCAGTTGCTTTACAAAGGGTCTGGCGTTTTCGTCAACGTGATTCTTTTTGAAATATTTCTTGACATCAACTTATTAGCACGGAATCGCTAAGTGATTTGAGGACCGGCAAGCGATCGTTCATTTGCCGATTAGTTTGGACGAGCAAATGTAAATCATAGATTACAGAGATCCACTCACTGATGTAGCTCAGTCGGCTCAAATCCCAAGCAAGGCCGTCTGATAAAAAAGATTTTTGGGTAAGAATAATGGGTGCTTAGAAAGGGTGGCTTTTTTGTTGCACTAACTAGGCTCCTTTAATTTGCCAGGATAGAGGCATGGAAAATTCAGTTGTTTAGTGCTTCAAAAACATTACCCGGCCAGTTGGCATTTGTCCCGGTGGTCTGCTTGCAATCGCCTATTTTCTTAAGCCACTGCTCATGCTACCATCATCCCCTCCTATATCCATCAATCGATAAACAGGAACTAATAGTTAAAATATTGAAGGTCTAACCCAATCATATGAACAATCTTGCAATGAATATTGCCATCATATCCATTTGGTGACTCACAATAAAAACCACAACTAGAATTGGTCTGCAACCCTTTTACAATCACTACTCTCGCCGTCAGTCCAACAAAAGTATGAAAACACAGTTACATAATTAACGAAAAGCCAAACAGCAATAATAAGAAGATACAACAAAACCGACCTAACATTCGAAACCGGAACTATCAACAATTCATTCATTTAACAAAATATTTGAGATGTCTCAACACTGGAAGAGGTAGGGCCTTACCAATATATCAGCATCACCACTTTGATTATCATCTGTTGGAAAACTAGCAGCAACGAAATAAGATATTCTTGTATGATTACATCGCGGTGATATATGGTTGAGGATTTGGTGATTGTTGAAATAGATATCCTTTCTGAAATTGAATCCGATATCCCGTTATTTAATTGTCTAATCAACGGCAGCAAAATTATTTTAAGTTCCGCGTTGGAAAATCGGCTCCATTGACCGGTTGAAACGGTAAATAGTGTTAACACTCACTCCACAAAAAGGCAACCGAAAACTTCATCATTCAGATCAAAGTAAACGATTTACAATTAGTAATGATGGGATATCTACTAAAGCATTTTCCATTATCAATGCCCTCGGCCCACTAACTCTCAAAGAATCCAAATAACTCAAGCGACGGAAGTGGCTTGCAATGAACTCTAAACGGGTTTGAGTTTTAATAACCTTCTTTTCTTTCACACAAGTTTAATCGATGTTGCATGGTGCAGCAATACAATTACTGTTCAACCGAAGAGCATAAACAGTGTCATCCCCTAAAATATTTACCGCGGAAGCAAATGAGCAATCAGTTTATCTGTAAACTTCTGAGTCTTCAGCAATTAAATCAAAGGAATGTGATTTATATAGCACGTTGTTCAAGTCATTCATCAATCTTGTTGCCTTCAAGTGAAGCAAATCAAATCGCGACTAATCAACTTTTAATGTGAAGCAGTCGTTCAAGGATGCCCAAATACAATTGGGGATTTGAGCAGCATCAAGTTAATCAAATGCACCGCTTGCTATTCTAAGACCTTCCATTTTGATCAATGAACCACAATACGATTTAAATATCTTCACGATTCAAATTGTTGATTGCGCACAAAAACATTTCAACATATATTTGTAGCAAGCAGAGGAGTTTGCCATTTGCAAGATAATTCTCACCATAATCCGATGAATCATTGGAACCCAAACGATTCGAAAGCACGTACCATCACTTTCAACCAACACACAGGAAGACGTGGTAGTGCACATACGGATTTGTGTTACTTCTAAACCATCAAAACATATTCACCATCCAACATGCGGGACGTTGATCAATGTAAAGTTCTTCGTCCATTCCACCAAAAAGAAGTGCAATTTTCCAATTTAGATGCTGCACCAAGAAAGTCAATGATGTTCATCCAGCACGATTGCCTCGAACAGTTCCATACCGATTGACAGACCTAGATCTTTGAGAAGAATGAAAATCTTCATGGCAAAAACAACCTTGGGCAACTCTTCTTGATTATTCCGATCCACCAGTTGTGCGGACATTGTTGAAGAACCACAACAACTGCCAACACGTCTTTCTCCAAAAGGATGATTGGCCTCCATGTAATAATTATGGTCAAGCATTTTCAGATGCGCTGATTGACAGCAACTGTGCCGATTTCGTCTGCTGGATTAGTTCTACCGGTATTGGCGGCCTTCAGAGCAGCCGCCAAATTTGTCCAATAGCAGCTGGATCCAAAGATATCATTTAAATCAATTTTAAAGACTTTGAGTGCGTACTGAAAATCATCATCAGTTTGTGGCCGTACGGCATTGATTGCTGCACGCTGAAAGATATGAGATACACCACCGCTGTGATCATCAGGAGATATTTCATTAAATTCTATGGATGCAGCGTCTTCTTCGAATTGAACTGATTAACATCGACAGCGTCTTTTTCTTCATCATCTGAGCTGATGGCACTGAGGCCTTCATCATCATTGGGATTATCTTCTGATCTATTTTGTCAAGCGATTACATTTTTGCTATGTTGTCTTTGAATGCTATAGACGGACTTCCGCGGTAGAAAGGTCAGAGCAATAAGTGTAACTCTGACTGCAGATTTAATTACAATATTAATGGCTGCGAATGACGGGTCTTCGCGACGAAATTTGGAGTTCCTAAACAGACGTCGTGAGCTGACAAAAACGCAGCTGCTATATAGATTGAAGATTCTGTTGGCATTTTTACTGATCTCGTGGCCAACCACATTCCAGAAGACCGCTGTATCATCTAACAAAGATTGCCCAACATTTCGGGCATCATGCTGTGATCAGGACAGCAAAGCACCTTTAAAATAGGAGCAGCTGAAATTCGTCCACATAGGGAATCAATTACAGTACTCAAGAGATCAACATTCTTTGTGGAAATAACGTTTATCAACAACACAGAGCACCTTGCTTCTGGATTGCAAAATGATCCGCAATATCATTATAAATTAACATTGTCCCATCTTTTGTCATGAATGTTGTTTGCCGACCTTGCGCCACCCAATTTTGATTAAACTGATAAGAAGCTGATATTTGGATATTCATTTTGTCAGATTGACGACTGCTTCGGAAATCTTTAATGGAAACCTATTATCAGATCTGACAGTGGGAACCCTTTTATCGAGTATTCGTTGAGTGAATTTAATCTAATGTTTCATCCTGCCATCAGCCAATGATCGTGTGGCAATGGAAGCACGAAAAAGTTCAATTCAGTAGTGATCATCTACGGTGTGAAAATATCGTCTGTGTGAAAAAGGAAGATGTGTCATTGCCACAACGATATAAACCCGATGCAGAGTAAAAGCAGCAGTGGCTTGTGTTGTAGACGACATGATAATGATGTTAGTCTCTTTTCCTTTGTGCAAGAGCATCATTTTGGGCTGCTGGTACTTAATGTCGCGTTGATTGTGGATATATCTTTTGGAGCGGAGTTACCTGGATGATGGAAACGATCATTCAAATTTGTAGTAATTGACTGATCAGCAGTTAGGGCAACTGGCCATCCACAATCAGCTAAAGATGCATTTTCACCAGCTGGATTTCCATCCAATTAATGACGATTACTTTCAATGAAAACCACCTCCATCTATTTGTACCGGTTGAGATTGATGAAGAATTTGCACCATTTAGAGCATAAACGGCAGATCCTACTGCTTTTCCGTTCAGAAACGTTGCAGTTTCAATACTATTGACATCTTCGAACATTTCAGCACCACCTGGTAAATGACACAAAAGATGATTTCAATCACTGAACAACTGTGTGTTTACTCCAATAGGATTGGAACCAGTAGATTCATAATGAATTTGTTTGCACTTCAAATTCTGGTTGCTTGGTGTGTCTATCGACCAAGCGAACCATGGTTGATAAAGATGGGGAGCACCCACATTAGCCGCAGCCGGAGAAGCGTCGGCTACAAGTGTGGATTCAAGAGGAACTGGTGGTTGATCCAATAACCACTAGACAAATGGATTTGTTCGTAAAAATGATAGCAAGTTATTGGTTATCGCATTATCTTCTTAAGTGTCTGGTTTCCAATTGAGGTAAATCGGTTAATCTAAGTTAGCAGCAAATGCCTGCTTATGAGGATGAATGGCCGCACGCTGTGAATCAATAGCTGTAATTTTTTGTTGCTCAGGACATTGAGTGAGAACTTTGGCAGCATTGAAGGTATCGCAAACAAGAGCAGCATCGAAAATGTCACCAATCATGTCATCATTGTGGATCGCATGAATATTGCCATAAAATTCATTAGCAAATTCAATGTGGTGCTTTATACTAAGTAAAGTATTTGCGCAGATTCGCGTGGTAGATGACCCGATGATATTCCAAACTGCTTCACCACCAACATCACCATAATCGTTTATGCCGTTTACCTAATTCTTCAGCACCGCTCCACCTATTGTGTAGCGCCTCTTCTAATACCGTGGGATCCAATCCTCCACCAACCTACTTATGTGGAATGCAATCCATAGCAACTCTAACTGACTTGCAATTAGCATCATCTGCAAGAGTAACTCGCTTTGTGAGGAGCCGTGAATAAAGTACGCAAACTGATTTTTTTTGCATGCAAGACTGAACCACAAAACTTATTGTCAACGGAAATCATTTGCCTCATTCATTATCCGCAGCTGAAATTCGCTAATTGGTTCTGATTCTGTCAAGGCGAATAACTAAAAATTTGTTAAAAATGTGTAGTAATTAAGAAACTCCACAGTAGAAGAGATCGGCGGCCGGTTTTAGAAAGACCGGACAGAGATGTCAAAGCGTCACGGAAGCAGGCCGCCGACAAACACCTAGAAACCGAATGTAGAAACTCGCTAAGCTGACACCATTTTCGATTTTCATTGATCTGCTACAATAACTATGAGCCAAATCTCACCTGGCGGGTAGCAGGAATCACAGAATCAAGTAGATAATATTAGGGTTTCTATTTGCATTTTGTTGTTGAGCAGCAATGCTGCTTAGTTTGCTCTGCCTATTCAAGAAATTATCATAGCTACAGTTATTTGAGCTGATGATGTTCATTCACTCAAAGTGAAAGGTGCCATCTATTCCTTCTAGCAATAGTGGGTTACTGCCGGACTTGTTTGCAGAGTTGCGAGAGGTTAATACAATCGCCAGAAAGCCCCTTAAGTATTAGTGATCTTGGCGATGCTTCACGGCTCGATTGGTGCTTAGGTGGATGTTATTATCACGAGGAAACTTACTTAGGCTAAGTGGAGAAATACTTCATCAATATAAGTTGATAGAATTAACTCTATATTGAAATCTATGAAGCACTCACAAGCCCTACAATGCTTATAGAAAAGCTGCAACCTTCCCCGCTCTATTTCCGTTAGAAATCACCAGTGCTGGATCAATCCGTACACAATTGAACCACCCGCAGAGCAGTAGTCTGTGCTGAAAAAAATGAATTAGTTAATCATCTTGGCGATGAGGCATCTGATCGTGGCTCACGATCAACACGGTTAGTCTCTGTTGATGAAGCACCTTTCAAAAAGACAAATCAGAAACGTATGACCATGTATTGCTGTGACAACATAGCTCACTTGGCTAGTCGGTGGTTGGCATCACGGCCTTGATTTCTGGTTCACTTGATCCAGTCGTTGGTTTTGCTGCCTTGCCTGTTCTGGATGCCCGCAAAGTTGTAAATCCGCTGTGTTCTTCGTTGATATTACGAGATCAGAAACTGATGTTGAATTCCTAACTGTTCTAATTTGAATGAGGTGATGGTCAACATGTTTCCGTTGTCGTTGATTGGCTGATCATCCTCACTAGTCATTCGGCTGAGAATGCAACTACTTGTCACATTATCCTTGATGTCAACAGGATTGCTACTGCAAATTTCAAGAATAGTGGATAGTTTGATCATTCACTATGTGGTCCCCGTAGCCCAAGTTTAATTCCAATCTCAGCTGTTTCAAATAATATTCATTAGTTTTTATTCAATGATCTTACAGCTTATTGGAATGTTGCGAACGCAGCTGCTAGAGCCGCTTCAAAGGTAGATCGACAAGTAGAAGCTCCTACCCGTTTAGCGTTAATCACTACACATTTCTATCGACCTTTGGTTTATGCAGGAGAGAGCTGAATGCAGCACATCCAAGAATTATGCGATTCCTGCGGAGAGTGCCCCAAAAAAGACTTCGGTTCACGAGAGAAACCCAACTTGAATTTATAATCAGTTGCTTATAAGCCAGTGCACTGCGGTTTATCTGTACCTCATGTGGGCTTTTTTGGGCCTTCTGTTACTGAAGCTGCTGTAAACAGTAGTTAATCTTTCAACATTGTCAATGGTTACTAATGATTTCGTGCTTGTAGCGCCAAATGCCACCCCATCGTGAACAGATGCGAGGTAGCTAAATCATAGAATATTCTTCTACGAAGTATTGGATAAGGACGTTCATAGAGTGATGTCTATCAAGGTGCATGCATTGAAGCTGTTGGATCGCTTTTAGCGATCTGAAGAAACCGAAATTCAAATCGCAGTTCCATATCAGTCTCATCAAAATGACGTTGGTATAATTTTGGAACGAACGATAGTCACAAAGGTGTGGAAAAACATAATTGAAGCAAGTATCGCTAATTATTTGCCCAATAGTCTGTTGGTGTATGCAGTCCTTCTGATGAATTTGTTTCCAATCGAAAATCCGACCAACATATTTTCACTTCTCAATTTGTTGAAAAGTGAATAATAATTGCTGTGGTGTTGAAAGTAATTGGCTTTGCGGCGGATGGCATCATCACCAGACGAATCAGCTAAACCAAATTCGATCCTACGGCAGTGCTTTGTGTGATTCTTGGCTATAACATGAGTAGAATGGCCAACAATAAGTAAAAACCCCATCTGGACTGTGTTGTTGCCAGCTCATCCGGTGGCTTTGAAGATCGTAAATTGCTTCATAACGACTGATAAATTGGTGCCATTGAGACAACGACTGCATTCGATGATAGAGTTCCATCTATTGGTAATTGCGTTACGAAGGGAAACTCAGCAGACTGCTATCAATGACAGATTTATGACAACTGCAACAAGTTTACACGATACTTGAATCTGCAACTGCAATGAGGATGACCTACACATTGAAACCAGCTGAGATGATGAAAATCACAGTTGCATGAGCCAAAAACAAAGGATTCAAATGAATCTCTTCCATCGGCAGAACATATTGACCAAGGTACGGATGCTAACTCCGGTGATGAGTCTGATATGCATTAAATTGGTGGAGCTGAAGGCAATCATTTCAAAGAACTTCTTGACAATGAAAATGTGCTCTATTTCTTTTGCAATGATTTAAATGATAGTATTAAAGACCGGTCTGTTGTGACATATTTTGGTGCTGCCATCACTGGCCCTAGTACAGTATAACAGACTCCAGTAAACTCAAACAAGTTAATTGGTTCTCAATCAGCGCTTCAGGCAATTGCTGTAAGCGGCAGCTACTGGTCGCTCGCTTTTGCGTCGGAAGAAAAGGTCGTGTGGCCTGTCCTTGGGTGATGACAATGAAATCACCGCCAATCGGTGCTTTTGCAGATGCCGCGCAAATTCTTCAATACATCTTTTTCTTCCCGTATGGTTGCGAAGAGCCCACTTTATCAGGCCTCTTCCACGGAATTGATTATTATATATATATATTAACGAATCACAAATCTTTTTGAGATTCTACCGTAGATATGAAGAAACCTAGTCGTTAGGAAGAAAACTCACTTCGAAGACAAGACTGTGAAATGCAAGAAGCTGTGTGCTGGTATTGTCTTCGATTATGAATTCTTATGCGTGCCATATAAAGATAATAAAATTAGGTAGGCCCGATTTCGTCCCTAATTCAATGTAAATACTTTGAGGATTTACCTCGTCTGAGAGATCCATTGTTACCTGCGAAGGAACTCTCGCCTGTAGATTTATCGGACATTTGATGATTTAATAATATATTGTGGGTGCGGAGAGGGAACATTTCCATTGCTTGCTGCTCATATATCCAGCCGTCCACTGAGTATCTTCACCAAAAACGAGTGCGGTGCTATGTTGAACTACCGCGCCCGCCTCTTGCTTGGACATGTGCAATATTATTGTAAATGTGAGTGGTCTCTTAATTGATGGTGGGATGTTGAAACAGGCGATTACCATTTGATTGTGAAAACTATTAATATAAATTTTAAATAGGTTATTCCATTGCCGGATCATCGATTCATGGAAGGGCTTCTTGATAGTGCTGATTGTAGGAACTGCAACGGCTTTCTCACTATCATGATCTTTGAAGAGCTATACTATCACTTCAATTAGTAAGAATTATAGCGTTTTGGATAGTGATTGGTAAATTTGTTGATAAAGTTGTCTTGCATGTGTATTTCCTTTGATATTTTTTGCCATCGTTGAAATTGGTTATTGTTTTGGGAACGTATGGATAACTGTATGGGCAGTACATTTGTTTTCTACTCTTTTGATATAGTTGCAGTTGACTAAAAGTCACCGGTTACGGTCAGAGGAATGATATTATGTTGAGCACTGATCAGTTAAATGATTGTGGGATATTTTGCCTTGCAGCTTCTGGAAATAAAAAGAACCTATAGGTTTATATGGAATTTGCCCATGAAGTATAGAGCTGTCTGAGAGATAGTGGGTTTAGATAGCCAAGGATGTGTCCTATTGGAGTTAACGTCTTACCAGCTGTGGTGAACAATCTCAATTGTATTTTGCCTGAAGTATCCATTTGTAGGGATTGTTCTTTTGTCACTGTTGAGAATTTGATTCTATTAGTTGGACTAACGATGGCACTGGTGTTAATTATATGAACGTTTTTCATTTCTCCCCATTTAATATCTTTAGATTGACTGTTGAATTCTATGTGTTAGACTATTTTCGCTGGTGTCAAAGTTTAAGCCATGATAGGAAGCCGATAGATTGATTGTTAATTGTTTTCGGCAGTTACCTTTGATCTTCTTTTGTGTGGCAATTGAGTAGATAAATATATTATGTACTTAACAAATGGAATATCCTTTTTGTGTTCCACTATATTTCAATATTATACTCGACTATAGTAAATATAGAAGTGGTGAGATACGCGAACCTTTAAGGATGTTTTGATTGTTCCGGCAAGCTTTGGATATGTGGTTGTTAATACAGAAAAGGACATCTCTTTCTGAGCTGAATGATTGCATTATTTTGATCAGTTAAATGGAATTTTGGGTACTCCCAATGTTTGTGTCAACTCGTCGTGGTCCACCACATCAAAGGCGGTTTTCCCATATGAAATGTGATTTGAATTTATATTGATATTATGCCCGTTTAGAGTAACTCAGGCCTGATTGAATATATGGGCAATGGCGTCAGTGGTACTGTAGCCCTTACGACCACCAAACAGTTATCAATCTTCATAACCAATTGCAAATTCATCTAATGGTTCCTTTATTAAACTATCAAAAATTTTAGAAATATGATTTAGTAGACTGATTGGACCAAATTCTTTTGCAGTCTGGTAGGTGAGATCAGGTGGATCGGCAATAAAAATCATTGTCAGATGTGTAAAGCATTTGGGGAGGTATCCTGATCGAACAACCTCAGTGTATACTCTTTGTAGTATTGTGATAAAGTACTAGTAAATACGGTGGAAACCTAGGAATTTTATTTGAATTCCGTCAAGACCGGGCGCTTTATTACTCACTGCTATGCGGAATGCGTATGGAGTTTATTTGCAGAAAACTTTTTCACTTTGATGTGATCTTCAACAAATAGAGTGCCAATATTTGACACTTCTTTCCAATAGTGCTGAGAAAACGTTCGATATTGAAAAGGAAATGGTTGATTAAACAGTCAAGGGGCCTTTATTGGATTCGAACTTTTTAGTAACTTTCAAATTTGATCAAGTTGATTTATCATTACATCATTGTTCTACTGTTAGACTCTATTTTTTGAAAAGTGGTTTGGAACTCGTCTTTGTGATTATGATACGTTTTTTTATGATTTGCATTTTGCTATGCGAGAAGATTATCCAGACTCTCTTTAAGTGATTCATAGAATTCAGTTAGTTCAGTCAGCCAGCACCTTTTAGTGTCTATGTCAATTTCGAATTGAGCTATTTGTTGCGATTGAAGATTAATTGGAAATGTTCAAAAAAATGTTGGTAAAAATTTCGATCTGGCTGTTATGTTGAAATGGTTCTGAAGCAGTGAATAAATTTATTTTATCAAAAATTACTTCGCAATTTGCTTCATCAAAATTTAAGTCTGGTCCTGAGCACTCCATAATGTGGAGAAGACTGATATTGATAATTCTGTCAATGGCCAAGTGCTCCAATCCAACTGACAAATTTCTTGGTAATAGAGTAGACTGCAGCACCATTCTTAGCGATGCTAATAGCAAGTTTATTTAATTTCCTTTCATCCGCGTTGGGGCTTCTTTGTTTCCTATGTATTGATAAATGTGATCCGTTAAACCTTTGGCTAACTCTTCTCCTACCGGATCATTTTGTGGATATCTTGATTGCCATATAGTACGATGTAAATTGCAATCACCTTCTAATATATGGAAGTCATTAGAAGGATTTGATGAATTGATTGTTGTTAGTGTGGATATGATGTCTGATAACCGTCGGTGCTTCCGATGATTATATGGGAGAGACTAAAGATTTGAAGGTTATATTTGATATGAATTAAAGCTGTTATAATGTCATTGTCAGTCCTTGATTCGTTCATTAATACTTCATCTTTTTAAACAAATGAATTGCGAATATATGCAGCAGCCCGAACTTTGTCGGCCGCATCTTTGAAGTCATGGAAAGAAAATAGTTTGATTGAGGATGGGTTAAGAGACCGAAATTATGCTTTCTTTGGACTCTTTCTTTAAGCAATACAATATCTGCTTGCGTTGTGTTTAGCACTGCGTTAAGCGTGTGACTGTTTTTTTGTACGTCGATCGATATGAGTTTAATCACTTTCCTTAATTTTGGTATCATGCTGTGCTGCTAGATTTCCTGAATCTAAACTTCAAGATATTTTGTGCTGAATCACCTTGATAATTTGCATTCTTTCAGAATTTAAGAGAATTATAAGATCTTTGGATTATTTTTAACAGAGTCGGTTGAGCCTTCATTAATTCAATATTCCTCAATATCTGTATATATATTTGATGATGCAATCTGTTCATCGTCTGAGATATCTTCGTCCGTGTCGCTGAATAGTGTAGGAATGCATTGACTAAAACTATGGACTTTCTCGCAGGAATCCTCTTTCTCTTCATCGGGAGAATGATCAGTCCTATGATCAGCGTGATTAGCGATGACTATTAAGTCGGTGGTGTCAGATTCCAATTTGGGATCAACTTGTTTTTATCTTTGCTCGATTTAGAACCATCCATATTCACAGCGCAGTTGTTATTCGTTTTGGTGAATATGCTGGCCTTAGTATTTTGACTTTTCGCTGCTTTGGGGTTTTCAGTGTTGGGTTTGGAAGCCTTCATATGAAATAGTTTATAATGCAATACGACTCCTTTGATGTCTTGTGGAAAATTTTTATCATTATTGAAGAGCAATATGAAACATTCCTTTGGTTGTTTAGAATATAATTTGAGCTTAGTGTAGGGCCACATGGAAAACGGCCCATTGACACTTAATTTTGCTGTTTGACTTCCTTGCTGCAAGTAGTAAGTGTTTGATTGTTCGAGATTCCACGAATTACTCCCGCTTTAAAAGGCAATCCGTAGTCCCATAGAGCGTGATACAGTTCAATTGATGTAGATGTGGCAGAGGTCTTCGTCAACATTTTCTTTGGGTGTTGAGGTTTAGTCAAGTTTTGAAGATCTGGCATCCATTTATGCACGTTCTCGACTTGCAACTTGTCACAATTGTGAAGAGTCACTCTTAAATTTTGGTGTTTAGAAAACTCAATTGTTTTAATGATATGTCAAGAGGCCATTTAATTTACATTTGTATCAATATTTGCAAATGTATTGCCGTTAACCATTTTCTCTCTAGCAGATTTATGCGTATTAACTGGCGATTGACGATTTTAAATTGACCAAGGGATGCAGCTCTTATACGCGTTGGGAATTAGTAATTTTGTCATAAATGCTTTTCTTTTAAGTACTTGACTGATGGAAACAGTACAATTGTGATAGCCCTTTTTTGAGTGCTCATATGAAATAGAGCTATGATTTCTGCGATTACTAGCATCATAGGTGTATGATCATTGTTGGTTCTTCGTTACAGTATATCTAGGGGATGGAACCACCACATTTAGGATGGCGACGAAGACTTGAATCTCAAATAATTCGACAACGTTAGGAACTAACTACTCATATGTTTTGTCAGTGTGTTTATTGATATTAGATTCAACGGTTGAAATTCGAAGGAAAATTTGAAATTTTAATGGTAGTTCATTAAGGATCCATTAGTTGAGTTGTTTTGATAGCTCTTGTACGAAGCGATAGTCAATGTGTGTTTGGAATGAAGATGTGCTTATTTCGTCGACTGTTTATGAAAGATCGTGATGGAAATGAACTATTGCTGCTTGATGAGTAACCCTATAGTCTTTGCTATTAGCAAAAGTGTTGTTTGTAGAAGAGCGTTGAACATATAAAGTCATTTTTCGTACAAGAGATTTATCAGCTTCAGAGAATTGATTTTTCAGCAAATATTCGTGAAGTAAGTAGCTATAAATGATTTCAATTTTGATGTGCTGTTGAAGAATCAAAGCGATTGATCATCATTAAATGGATGTCACAATTCTGTTCCTTTTAGGTGATATCGACCCTGAAATTTACATAAATTATCCATCTAGCTTATTCATGATAAATATCCAACGAAAGCTAACAAGTAGAGCAAGTGACTTGATCCACTCACTCAATGTCGTTCGTTGTGTATGTAAGAAGGTATGAAATCCTCTGTAGTCTTTTCGCATTGAAGTTGTGTTAGCAAATGATGGTGGTAGTTATTGTTCTAATGACGCACACCTCTGCAAGATTGAATTGTCTGTGGATAATTCAATTGGAACTGGATCGTCAGATGGAACCTTCCCGGGAGCAAATCGTATCTCAGCTGATTCGTTTATATGAAACATCCTTGATTAAGGTTGACTTGTTCTCAAGGAGTTGATGTTGCTTGAAGTATTGACGGTACTTCATAATCTTTGTACATCTACACCATACAGATGGTTGAACTGCTGAAAGTAAATGAGTCTCAAGAAGCAGCATAAATCAATGGTGACCAACTCAGAGAAGGTGTCACCTGAAACAGATGGCCCTGCCTAGGATGCTGAGATACTATCGCTCCACAGATCAAATTTCGGGTTGATGTTCTACTGTGCAATCTGTTAAGGCTATCGTATTCAATTTCTTGTTGGGTTACTGAGTTGATATGGGGGATCGCCATTATAGATCCTCCGAAATCGTGGTAATAGAGTGCTACGATATTTGAACCAAAATCCATCTGCAGCTCATTAGGAAACTGCTTGTTGAGTTGAGTTCGTTGGATTCTGTGATACTAATCGGGGTTGAGACTTTGGTCTTGGGAAATGAGTTGGTGCTTATGAGTTCCTCGTAAAACACAAGCTAGTTACTTGATACTCAAAGAGGGAAACTTGGGTTGCCTTCTTGAATTTTGAATCTGAATACGTTTGACTCACAGAAGCAGTCAACCGGCTGGCTCTATTTAATGAAAGGGTTTGGTTAGAATTATTTTACTCTTGCACAGATGTCAGTAAAAATATTGTTGCCAATATTGGGACTGAAGAGGTTAGTGTGCCTGACTTAAATTGAGTCGATGATGGCTTCGATGACTCAATTACTGATGTTGGGTTGTAGATGCAATCTTTTCTTTGGTGTGACATGATTATCCTTCAATGTTGCATTTATTCATCGTCATGTTTGATTGTTGTTAATGATCTGTTTCATCGACTCTGAACGTTCCATTTCTACAAGCATTTCAATTTCATCGTTGTACTGGTTGTGTCTTTGAATCTAAAAATGGATTTATTGAAATACTAAATTACCTTCTTATATATTTGATTCGTTGATTGTTGGATTTACTTATTGTTACATTTTTGTTTTGTATTTGATTTCCTATACAGCTCTCAGGTTTACCCTAGACATTGCTGAAACCAAATCAATGATCGCGATCCAAAGACCTTGAAAAAGTTGAAGATTCGGTTACGGATCTGGAGGCACATTGAAAATGATCAACTCACAATTATCGCTTGAATTGGTACAAGACACTAGTTAGTGAACTTTATGCCAGCACTTAAAAACCATCGATGACTCCTACCTCAAGGTGATTTCTTTGAAAGTGCCCTGTTGAGACTTTAGCCGGCTCCATCTCGCTTGAAAATATAATTGCTTGAGACCATGGGTATTTTTTTCACCTGCTACTCTCTCGGCCAACTCAATCAGTTGATTGCTGCTTTGGTAAACTTGTTGACTGCATTGACCCGACCGTCTGAGGTCGAACAACTGCGTGAATGGACGCGCTTGTGAGGCTGCCGCAAGACACAATTCGGTCTTTCGTAATTTGTCACAGGACGCTTGAATGACATTTTGTGATTAAACCCGCTTGCCAATGAAAAAGAACGGCAATCTTTTCTTCCCTCGGTTTTGTATGACTCTTTAGCTGGATATAATATCGTGGACTCGGCACAACACTAAGGACTTTTTAATTCTTCGAACAACGTCGCTTGGAGAGCTCGTTTGCTTCTTGCGTCAGAATCGTTGCCAAGACCGCTCGGGTGTAAGCCTGTTTTCTTGTTCACCAACACTCCTTTCTCAGACCCGCAGCTCAAGCGACAATCTTCAGTTGATATATGTATTCCAAGGCCAAGAAAGCATATATAAAAATGGAAATCAATTAATCAATCAATTCAATGACAATTGAACTACAGTATAATATCAGCATTGCAAGTGTTAAATCGCAACAAGAAATAGCAAATCATATAATCATAATCGGTGTAGAAATTGAACATTGAGAGTCAGACAAACTGATTAGTAACAATACTGTAAGATTGATATTCGAATTAGGCCATTGATAGGTAATCAATTAAGACCTAAACGAGATAAACAACTAACCTTAAACAATTAGCAATCAATTCATTGAAAAAGATGATTATCATATTTTAATCCAGGAGCACTGACGAAATTAGTCAACTTATTATTAACGTAATATTTTGTTTCAACTGTTGCTGGGGTAATAGCAACGATGCACCACCATTTTAAAACGTGATGCTTGGTTGAAATCTCTTTGGAGTTTCAATGAAGGCAAGGATCCCACCGAGCTTGATAGCACAATGGCTGCTCCCGATTGAACTAGGTCTGTTATTAATTATTGAAATATATGTAAATAACTCCATTGTGATTCAGCTTCTTTTACTACCGCTTTAATAGAAAATTATTCAGCTTCCTCAGTCACTAAAGCCACTGAAGAGTGCTTGTTTGAGTTTGACAAAATTGGCTGTTAATCAATCAGGTACATGTAACAATCAACTGAGTTTCAATCACCACTGTTTCCAGTCTTTTTTTAGTCAAACTATTAAGCTAGCTCAACTGAAGAATCACCATCCTAATAAACAGTCATTTCATTTGAGTATGCATATTTCATTACTCTTGTAGGAACACCACTGATCACTGTCGCGTGGTGCTCCATCATAACCGATGATTAACCATCAGCATTAGCAATAGTACTGCCTAAAGCATTTGCAGCGCAAAGCAAAAATGAAAGAGTTAATTTCAAAGTGATGATTTTTCAACATGGAATAGGCAGCAATCAGCTTTTTTCTACCGTGTAACAAGTAATCATGAGTGGTGTAAGAACCCCATGAAAATCATCATTTCTCATCTGATGAACCACGTGCTTGATCTATGGCATCGTAGATACAATAATAGGTTCCATACTCTATTCAACATCAAGTCCAGATCAACAAGGCAAAGTTACTTGATGAATATTCATTTTCATCTATGCGGTGAAATATAGTATTCATTAGCATGACCATCGCATCGGACGTTCCAAAAAAGATAAGATCATCAAGAGATATATTCAACGTGAAGTTGTGATTCTTTGAAACAGAAATCAAACTATCTTCAGCTAAAGCTCTTTGAATCCCGGACATGTGGACGGCATCTAGCATTTTGATTCACCAACAAAGTCAGCAATGACTAGTGCAGAAGTTGTAATATCTAAGTTGTGATGCTTCCGAACTGACTCGGCTTTGGAAATTGCACGATGTTGATTCATCTATATTTCTGCGTCGCTATCACCATGAAAGAATTCCGTGGAAACAACACACTCATGATCGATGAATGGATATCATTGTGTAGCAGCAAAATAACCCCGATAGCCAAATTCCTCATACTCAGACTAAATGCTTTTGTATCATCAATAGTGCAGGCTCAGAGTATATTGACCAACTGGTCTGGCCATCGGTAAATCAGCACTTGGTGCTGTCTACATTGTAGACTCCTAAAGAGATGCAACACATCGTTATCGAAAGAGAAACTTGGCCAACCGAGTAATATCGTTATTAATCATTGCCGGCAGGTCTGATTCACAAGCTACTTTGGTGATTCGGCCCGCGGAACTTGGATCAACGGTAATAGCAGCAGTAAGGGCAGCAGCCAAGCATGCCAGTGAGATCTCAAATTAAAATGTATCAGTTTACTCATTTTACTCAAGTTCCATACCTATCAAATGGGAAGAGTATGATTTTCACCAATAATATTGTGGAATCAAGTTAGTCTATATAAGATTCGTTCACACTGCAAGAATCAGAATAACATCTGTATCTTCTGGGGATGTAACAGATTCATTTGAATTGAATTAACGCCTTTGATTGAATTATGATGTTTATCATGTGAGCTGATATCCATTTATTCATCATCGTCGGTAGTGTCATCGTTTGATCCATCTTCAAATGCAGTTTCTGTATTGTTATCTTTCATATTGGTAGCGGCGGTGCTGTGATGTCCATTTATACAAGCAGCAATTGAAACGAAATTCAACAGGTGATATAATTTTTTGATTAATAGCACCATTGAGATAGCTTTAGAAAATCTTTGAAATCGTCAAGCCGACTTCTGAATTTGACATCAACACATGTGCTATTGAGAATGTACACTCTGTAGAGGATTCTACGATTGACGTAGCCAACAAAACCGTAAAGAACAGTTGTACCCTTAGTTGATTTGGCTGCTTTGTTTGGGGATCCTGGGAGAAATAGTCGATTCAACCAGTTTCATTATTGACGGAGTTAATTGCTTCCCACAAAAATTTGTAATCGGTAGTCAACGCAGGGCCATCTTTGATATAAATGAAAGTGATCTGAAGTACCGCTGGCTTCACCGTTTGTCTAAACAAATAAACAGGACAATTTCTTGCAATTACAATTGTGTTGCCCATTGTAATGAATGTTGGTGGCCGAGAGTGGCCAACCGCAGGTTGATGAAACTCATGCTGATTTGACCTTCGATATTTGTTTCCTTCGCATTGGGAAGAATCTTGGAAGAGCTTGGGTGAAAACTGGTTGTTAGTCCGGAGAGTAAGAACTGACTTATGAAATAATCGTCGACCAAATTTAAGATAAAATCGATACCTGGCAGCGGCTAACGGTCGTGCACAATGGGAGCAAAAACTGCATAACTTGAAACGAGGAAAAAATGGGGTGACATTGACGACCCTCATCGATTGCAGTGACTGAAACTGGCCAAGCAATTTCAAAGTGAACTACAGCAAGGGCTGCAGTGTGCCGGTTTGTAGCGCACTTATTGAGAACCTTCGTGGTCTCTTCATTTGTGCCGATGTTCACCTTTAAAACTTGGAGCAGCTGATTTGGTTCGGTTTCAGTGCCATCTCCTCTAAGCGTGTCATTAATATGACTTAACAGCTATGGCAAATAGTAGCAATTAACGGAGCTGTGAATAGGGCAAGGGGAAATACCTATGAAGACGCTGCTGCTGTTTACAAGCCGAAGCAAGACTGGAGTAAGAAGAACGATCGTTGATAAAAAGCAGGTCTTTGAAATTGTTCCAGTTCCGATTGAAAGTAAATTTGAGCTACTGTGGAATTAAAGTTCATTTCCAAATTATCCACCATTCAAAACCATCAAGGTCCGATGGGTTTGACCTCAACCGTAGTCCTGCCATTAGCAGCAATCCAACTTGAAATCACAGGAAATAGGCCCATCCGATCGGCGTTCGCAAAAATATTCTTGAGAGGACCGCAATCAAAATAGAAATGCTTTCAATTGATCATCAAATTGCTAGGTACTTTTACCATCTAGGAGATCCGCCTTGCTTCAACTGATGGTTATGCAGATCAGCTAAACCTGCGGAGACATCGGCTGCAATTGATGTCCCAAGGGAGCTGGCCGGGGTGCACAGTTGTCACCAACCAATTGTGGATTTTCTTTTCCAAAATAGCATGTCGGTGATATTCGCTTTGGCCTCTGGAATGGATCGTTATCAACTTTGATTAACTGTGTTGAAACAGTCCTAGGAACTGTTGGATCATCTCCAATAGTTATCGCCACAAACGTTGCATCAGGAATCAAAATCTGCAGGTTGCAGAAACTCAATAGGATTGTCTTAAGCGTACGTGCCGTCAAAGCCAAAAGCTTCATACAAAATTGTAGCCCCTTGATCAGCCTTGTAAAACTAGAATAATACGGCAACAAAATTTATTAAAGATCGATTTCCAGCATACCAAATTCAATAAGATATTTGGCCACATTCCAGAAATACATCTCCTGGAGATAGCCATATCTGCTTCAACCTTAACAGCACTTAAAACGGTTCCCAAGTTAACAAGTAGCTCACTGCACACAATATGTTACATCGCACCTCCTGCAATCGGCCAGTCATTCATTCGCCGGTAGCCCCAGCACGGCAAGTGAAATCAAGCAACTTTATTTGTGTTAATTTCGACCTCATCAGATGATAAATATTTTCGTTGAAAAAATCGTCAGCTTAAGAAGGAGACTCAGCAGCGTTGAATTTGAAGAAGAAAGCGGAACCAGTAAAATCACAGATAGCCAAGAAGCAATTGCGCACATCGGGGCGGTTCACAACAATATGGTCCAACTTGCTGAATTGAAAAGGGGTCCTGAAGATGAGCTAGTTGAATGTCAAAATACTCTAAAATGCATTGGAGATGTTTCAGAAACAGCAGGAACAAGACCTCCACTTCAAAATAACTGGATGCGGACTTCATTGAAGTAACTACTGAATACTAAATGAAGCCTACCTCATCGGCAAAGTTGCTGGTAAATTAGAGCTTCATGCAATAGTTGACAACAATGGATACATGATGGCTGATCCTTTTTGTGGAGCAACCGCTGTTGGCAGTCGTTGAATCATTACGATGAAGATACCACCAATCGGTAAAACTGAAAAAGCTGCACACGCTGCTGATGGATCGCTCAGGATCCGAATAGCGATTAATCAGGAATGATTATTGCACTAATTGGGTATGTACTATGGGAGGTTTTCTTGCTGTTGGCAAGTAAAAGTTAATCAATTTTTATCAAATGGATAAGAAAACAGAAATGGAGGATGGTGTTCTGCTTCCAGAAACAGACATCAAACAATTTCCTGGATTCGTTACCGATGAGAGTCCTCTGGAAGTCACACAGTTACCTTCGTCTGATTATAAACCAAACCAAATTTTTCCGCGTTGTGAGATAAAGATCCTGAATGCTGTCAAATTGTTTAAGTTCGAAAACGCTTTTCTTGCATATCGTAGTTAGCACCCTTTGAAATCCAAAGACCGCTCCATTGATAATCGGACGTGAAGCGTAGAATTTCCGCTGCATCATTGAATTCAATGTCTAAGCTAGTCAAATTATATCAGAGTTCATTCTTCACAATGTAAGATGGTGGAGGAACTTTTTGTCGTTTGCTTGGACTTCATGTTTCTCAAAGTGACGAAAGTATTTCCGTAGTTTTTAACGCCGCCGTCAGAATGATCGGTCAATTGATTATGATTAATAAGGGTCATTGGCACGCTGTTCGACAAATCGCTTATTCATTCAAGGAGCGAATTGAAACTGAATCGAATCGGTTGTTCGCTAAAAGATTTTCCTTCACAGATCAATGTTTGGGTCGTTCTCCTATGCGCCTGATTGTTTTCAGATGAAATGTGAATCTGCTCTTGAAGCAGTCAGTCAATATCTAAGTCCCCTTGCAGGTCCTTCTACGTTGTGGTGAATGGGCCCAAAAATTGCTCAACTCCTATACATTAACAGATTGTTACAAAGCTGCTATTCGACTTGAGTTAGCTGGATACACTCGCCAAGAGAAATCGGTGGGGGAATGTACGGTCCACATTATCCACAATCCAGCTAGCTCGATCTGAACCAGAACGGTCACTGTGGCCGTGCTGACTTGTAAAGCACGATCAATTGGACTCGCTGACTAACTGAATGTAGCAATCATTGCACGGCAGATCTTCGACGATATTAGTAATGATGATTAAATCCCATTCATCATCTGTGATGCCTAATGTGCTACAATCACGGCTGCGCAATTCACCATTCGCCGAAATCTGAGGCTGCTCTAGGGCATTAATTATTGAATATCACTGGTGTGAAATTAATGTAATCCAAGAACGTACATAGCAAGGCCATCTCCCGATAATCAAAGCTGGCTACGGTCGCCGACGTTCACCCGCCGGACCGGTGAGAGACATCAATGGTGTGAAAGTCACCATCAAGATATCCCACTGCAGCTTTGCTTAGCCGACTCTACAGACTTTAGACGATCGGCTCAGTGAGCTCAAGCACTCTACTAAACAGGCATAGCCCGGATCGCCTTGGTCCAGCCAATAAAAAATAGGAGTGCAGCTCATTGTCTCCAGGATTTCTCTCGTGGCCGCAGTTGCCTGAGATCCAATTTCAACGATTGCCTTGTAAAGAAAAAAATTTTTGTGCTGCGACAAAAAGGTGTTTTTGAAAAAATGGAAGCTTTGAAACATAAGTAAGGCTATTATAATCTCCTTCACAATAAATCTAAGGAACAAAACTTTCTAATTGGATCAAGAGCAATAAGCACCCCGTTCGGTGGTTCACCTTTTCGTTTGTTGAAAAGGACTTATTCCCTTAATATTGTTCGGTATAAGGTGATTGACTCCTGAATCCATCAAAACCATACAAAGCATTGAAGAATTGGATGATCATTACTATGCCATACAAATGTATAGCCCACCAGACTATAATTCCGCTTTGGATTGTCTGCACATCAAGAATATCAGCATGATTCGAAACAAATTTTAACTGTTGGGGAGACATTTTGGAGAAAGTCCCTACAACATATGTGGAAATGTAATGTAGCATAAGAAACAAATAGAAAATCAACGAATACTAATCAGACAGATCTAAATGGTCGAAAACCACAGATCCAAATCAATTAATGGTTGTCGTGAAAAGAATTGATGGACAAGTTGAAATAGAGGTGAACTAAGCGCCTTATTCATCATATCAGCGTCACGACTGTTAGTGTCAACTATAGCAAGGGAATGATCAACATTGCGCAACCTTCTTGTAACGTGATAGCTTATTAATGGATACCAGTAGTATTTGGTCATTGGTAAATTAGTTGGCCACCTCGATAGCAGAAATTTCATCAAAACTAGGAGTTGCTTTGTGTCACCATGTGAACTAATCAATATGAAGATGCCTGTTACAGGCGCGGTATCCTTGAGTACTTTAATGAGTGATAGGTATTCAGTTGACAAGTCCCGCTGGTCTCTGAAGCCTGCATTTGGGGTTGCAAGTAGCGGGCCTTCGTTTAAAGTGGTATCGATAACCAATAAGTGACTTTCGTTCACCAACAGCCCCAACTCAATGACTGTCACAGCTTCGAAAGATCTCAAACGATATAGCTGTTTTGAAATGGATTGTCGACCGATTTACGTTTACATATCTCACCAACCTTTAACATAAAATAATTCGATTTTCAATTGTCGGTCAGAAGATGGAGTGAAAATCTGAACAGCTAAGACACTATCTTACCGTAAACTCATTTCAGCCAAATGCAATAATCCAACCATTCAGGTGTAAAGTGATGACGCTTCCGCGTCTAACATGGAGAGGTCGGATACAAATAGCAATTTGTGTTGCTCAATCAAGATTGGTCTAAACTTCCTTTGAAAATCATTTATTTTGTCCTGTTGAAGTATCCCCCTGACGCCCAACGTCATAAACCCCGCAGTCCTTTAGTGTTTCAACCGCATCGAATTTAAAACATTGACTGACGGTTACAATAAAATCATCATTCTTGAACAATGAACGGAGATATGAATTCATCTGCTTGACAATTGCAGCTGATAGTCCGGCATCAATGTCACCATCGACATTCAATCCAGAAATGAGGTGGAGTTCGTTTTCTCAGACGTGAATCTCTCCACCAACTGCTAATAGACTCGGAAAAAGATATGATTGGACAGCACGTTGAATTCTCTTCCGTTAATGCCAAAGTCATTCATTGAGTCCTATATTTGTTCAATGTAAATGCCACACTTTCAGCAAAAGATCATCATCAAGATATTCAAGAGCGTGTTGCTTGTAAAACTCGGGAGCATATCAGTTTAAAGAAGAGCGTTCTTCACATCCATTTATTGATCGATTGGTAACGTTAATGATTAATGTAATGGAATAATTCTAACCTATCCATTCCTGATCACTGCACTAGGTCATTCAGGATGATCGATACATTCAAGCTCAGAAAACGTCTAACACCCACTCTGCAATTTCGAACAGGTGCAGTCCGTCCCGGGCCTACTTCACACAATCACCTATGGCATTCAAGACTATTTTCAAAGTCAGGATGAACCAACAGGTAGCCATTGTGATGAATCAATGCATGCAGCTTTAAATAATGAGCAAATTGTTGACTTTGGTGTCAAGCGCAGTGTTTAACAGTAGTAGGTCCAACGATGCCGGCAGCCAAATATGTCAGAAGAGACATCTCTAAAAGGTATCTGTGGAATAATTTCTGATCTGCTTTGGTACATTTTGAATGTCGAGAACACGGTTCAGCCGGCCCATTCTGGGTCCAGCCAGATGGACTGTACCCGATTCTCCTTCCATGATAGCATCTAGAAATGGCTCAGTATCAGCACCTGAAGCGAACGATTTCTTTGAATGTGAACCTTTGCTATTGACACCATCATCATCTTTCTCATCTCAGCAGATTTCAGCACAATTACCACTCTGGTTGAAGTTCTGATTTGATATCACTCAAACAATTAGTGTTCGGCTCAGGTTGTGATTGGTAGTAGCAGACTGACTTTCATCTGAAACACGAGCAGCAAGATATGATAGCTCATCGCGGATCAATACGTTTGTTTAGTACCAGCAAATGACGCTTTACTAAAGGAAACATTGGATTCCAAAAAATGACAAGAAAGATACTTCAAAAGTCAGGTGCCATGAAGAACATAAGTTCTCTAGGACATTCCACCCATGCGGCAGCCAACGTAACACAAAGGACACCTGCTTGACTAATCTTGGCGTACTCCATTTTTTTGGGGATGAATATCTAAAAAGCACTTGAAAACGTCTTAACCAAAGCACCTTTCGATTCTCTTCAATAGAACTAATTGATAAGTATAGTCGGTTGGGGGCCCGCTTTGGAGAGAATCAGAATCATCAACAACACGGATTGCCGCAAATGGATTCAACAGCTAGTCGGCAATATCAACAGTAAGAGCAATTTCCCCGGTCACCTCCACGATTATTTTGAAGTAACATCCCCCAGCTTCTTTTATTGTGACTGACTATCCACCAACGATTCATGGTTCATTTTGGATCTTAAATAACAACCTTTGATGAGCTTGAATCAAATTACTTTAAGAGATCCCACAATGTGGATAGACTTATCCAACATTTGACCAGAAAAGATAACTTGACAAACCAACCTCGATAATTCCAATGATGCCGTATCAATGGCAGAAGCAATATCACTTCTGAATTTTTCATTATCCTTGGCAAGAATGTAGTGACTCCAATCAACGGGAACAGCTGGCGTTGGTGAAGCAATATCAATATCAAATCAATAAGCGACAGCAGTCCCTGTCACTTCCACATCATACCAATAATTATGCTGGCTTTTACTAGGGGAAAGCACTAACATTTTAATCCGGTAAATGATGAAATAGAAAAGACAGGGCTTTAATTCTTGCAACCCTCTTTCCGAGATCACCTGAATGGATAGGCCAGTCAGCGGTGGAAAACCCATCATCAGTTGCGTGAACCTGAAGTTGGTATACTCTGGAGGCGGCTTATATATTATCGAATGCCTCATCGTAAAGGACAGATATTCCAGCTTCAGCGGGCCACTCTTGTATTTTCCAGCTTAAATTCCAGTTCGAATTGAACCAAAGCGGGGATAAAGGCGTTTGCTGAGGTCGACCAACCTGAAACACCACATTAACATTAGCTCTGACATCAACCATCGAGTAAACATTACTAGTATTCGGTGTGGGTGAAAAGTTACGTCGCTAACCCAATCGGCATTGTTGCTGATGTTTTGAATAGCAGCCGATTCAACAAAAATCTGTTAGCAATTGGATACCTGTCGAGAAGCAAATTTCAACAAGCAACCGAACAACGACTGATGACGTTTCGCCAACCAAAACCACCACTTTTGCAAAAGCCTTTGCTGATTTTGATCAGCTGGCACAGAAAAACGGTGGCGCCACCACCCATTTGGCACGTCTTCTTTTATTCCCAACGATGGCCGCTGCTGTATTTATGATTTGCCCTGATTAATAGTATTTACCAAAATACGAGGTGGCTGTTCTGGAAGAGCCACTAGCAAGTGCAACAGCACCATTGTAATTGACCAATCCCATTGACTCAGCAAATTCAATTTTTCTGAGCATCTGCAAATGAATTAGCAAACTCATTCGGGGTAGCTGGAGCCAAAAGGAGACCAAGCATAGAAATTGGCAGCAGCTACTTCTTTTTTGTACACTTCAAGAAATATCAATTTTGAATGATTGAAGCAGTATTTGCAATGCTAATTATTAGATAACGTAATTAGGCACTTAGCAGCCGCAGGTGAGCCGATCGTATTAACGGCAATTTCCCCACCATTTGAACAAAATTGTTTTGGCAAGTTATTGAATATTTCATGGCCATAACATCAATTGAATAGGGCTTCCGTTAAAAAAGCCGACACTGAATCTGCAGTAATGAACGTATGGCCTAAGTAATCTAAAGAAACCTGAAGTTTCTCTCAATCGGGATTATTAGCAACAATACCACTTGAATTCATGTCGACCTCAGCTAACTGCTAAAAGCGGGCACCTGCGAAGCTCATGACGGAAGCCCATATTGAATCGTTAGAACCAGATGAAAGCCCCTCTGATTTTTGCCTCAATCATTCGCAATCTGTTCTATATCTTATTGTAGCGACTCCAACATAATGCATTATGGTACAGACAGATATATGTATAAACAACATTGAAGTGAATGCCAACGTTTTCTATTGGAAGCAGGGTTATATCACCGAGCGTAACGAGAGGAGACCTGCTGAACAACCGAACAACCAGATGTGGACTTTCCGGGGCTGCCTTTTGATCGATTGAAAGTTCGCCAAACTATTTTTTCGCAAACATATGAATCGAAAGCTGTTACTTGAACTCCGGATCGACCATCGAAGTTAACATTGGCTATGGTCTGTCTGAGGAACTTCAATGAAGAACTTCATTACTATTGAGTTGAAGATAATTGAACAAAACTATTGAATTTCAATTGCAAAGTGCAGTAATTGAAACGGAACATAGGAGTCAATCATTAGGAGTTTCAGTATTGTTGTGACTTGTATTCTAGAATGGTCAATCATACATTTTGAACAGATATTTGCGGTGCGGCGATTTGAAGCTGGTATGCTTATTTTGCGGAATGCTTGGAGCTGATTTGTCCAGAGCAATTTATCTTATTTGATAAACAAGGTAAATTGTCGGTTAACGTTACTGGTTGTTCAGTCATTAATGATGATTTAATTAGCGAATCAGATTTATTTGTTCTGAAGCAGATCCACCGGTAATGACATGTAATAGCTGTTTTGTGATAAATAGTCGCTCACCAACTTTATCTGGGTCGACTAAATCAGGTGAGTTATATTCCCCAGAACTGAAATCATTTGAGCTGTGAACTCATGGAAGTTGTCATTTATGTAAAACAGAACACCAAAATGAACCCGTGATTGATTTACGTTGATTATCTTTAGGAATGCACTGTTTTCGGTGAAGAAACTTTATTAATTGAAACAACAATACCGATGGTTCACTAGAATTTGCGGGACGTCACACCCAGTGGTCGGAGGCAATTCAATTTGCAGATTTTATCCACCTAATAATTATAATTTGCTGATTATCACACTCTCCGGAAAATTACTTTTTATTTGTTATTTGATGGTTCGTTTCAAATAAGTTGAAGATTCAAACCATTTTCAGCAAGTTCGAAAAGAGTACCGATTTTCTGTGGTGAGTCTGGTAAAAGCTGATCATCAAATAATATTAATGAGCTAAGATCAACAGTTCATTCTGACCTGCAAATATTGTCCCAATGGACTCCCTACATTGATGTCTTTCCAGTTTCAGGAACAGTCAATAATTGATCACTGTACAACATCAGCTGTTTTATCTGAAGCATGAACTTATTGATTAACGGTATCATGATCAGTTAAACGAATTTTCTCAAAATGTGTCTTTGATTCATTTTGAATAACAAGTTCCAAGTCATCTTCAGTGTCAATTAATTCAATCATTTCATAGACTTGAATATTTTTTAGTATTTTCCAGTTTTGCCTGCAATGACCATACCTACCAGAATTGATGGATCTAGGAAAGAATAGCAAAATGTTTGGTTTCTTTACGATTATGATCAGTTCCGTTGATTCTGACGAAATTGTGGACAATCGTTGTCTATGATCTCTTTAACGTGTCTCAATATTTGATTAGTTGATTAACCGGCGACTTGATCGGTAACAGAAAATCGTTGCCAGCTAAGTGACTGTGCTTGAGAATTGAGGACGATCAATATTATAAAATTAAAAGCAGCAGGATAGGCAGCCCAGTGGCTAAATCAAAAAATATGAGTTTAAACCATGATAACCTCGTTCTATAGTTTTTTTATATAATGCATTAATTCATCGATTAATTTCGTTTTAATGACGATGGATTTTGTCAATATTATCCAGATTCAAAATTTTTCAATCATTTCAATATTCACCTCCCTTGCATTGTCATCATTGCAATTTCATATTCGTTTATATTTGAAAGCAGCATTTATTAATGCTTCAGCGATACCAGCAGTTTCACTGGCAGTTTGAGTGATTTCCTAAGCGGCAATGAATCCCGTGATGATGAACTGGTTAGTATGAACCAAATTGGTGACTCATTTGCGAACCTAAGGTTTAAAAAACGGCTACTCAGCTCCTGTCCCAAACCTTCTAATCTGGATTAATTTTATTGATAATTATATTTACCATAGTCATTGTAGCGGATCTGCGAATTACCAAGACATCAATTCATTGTTGAAATAAATGATTGGAAAATTGTTTAAAATTGTGGATGCGCGTAGTACAATATGGTAACAACATAATCAATGATATAAAAAAACCTTAATTAACTTGCATCATCTTTTTAAATATAGATATATATATTATTATGTATGATATCGGTAATCACCATTTTGAAGTAAAAACAATTATGTCTGAGTTCAATATCCCAAATGCAATGAGAGGATCAAAGAAAGAAGTCATATAGAAAGTACACACTAAAGCATAAAGAAAATGACAAACAATTATACATTATCTTGAACTTAAGCAAAGCAAGGTATTTCTCTCCGAGATCAAGAAAAATCTTGATCTCATTGCTCTCACTCAAGATAGTTAAATTTCAAAGAAAACCGCTTAATAACAACAACTGAAAATGGAAAGAGTTTAAGGGTAAATTTCGAACAAGTTTCGCCGCACTGGAGAGAATTCTAATGAAACTATGGAATGAATTTAATTGAAGTAAGTTAAATAGTCAAGGCAATATTATATCAATACTTCATAATTAAATTACTGGATTTCCTTGCAGGATAATTCAAGAGGCAAAAGTGTAGTTTTCTTTATTGCTGCATAATGGAATGAACGAGAACAACAAGTTTAAGCCAAATGATGGGACGTTAGCTAAATTTTTTGTTTTCCAAGATGCTATATTTTTCGTAACTGAAGATCGTCTGAAAAATAATTGAAAAGTAAAAAAATGGGAAAAGAAATTGATTAATTGTTTTCACCGTTACGGTTTTGCTGATAATGAAACTCAACTATTATACAGTGAGGCCGTGTTGTCAGGTCAAAACAAAACAAAAAATTCAAAATTACAGATCTCAATAAAATCAATGATGAAGGAATATTACTTGGCTGATTTTGTTGGCGGAAATAACGGTGCTTATAAATTCGTTGATACGGAAAAACATTCCATTTCAACTTTCGGTGAAATTCTCACGGTGAAATTAGCTTTAACTGAATCATTAATTGCGTTGTTATTAATATTTAAGACCCAACTTCGTTTAACCTAAATATTTCCGTGTCTTGGCAAAAGAAATAATTGATTCAATTGCTTCTTGCTTCGAAATATCTTGCAGAATACCACTTACGTCCATTAAATCCCGGTTTCGATTTCATTGTCATAAGAAGGAGGTGGTGGATCATCAATGAAAACAAATGAAAGAAAAAGGACAGAGCCGATAAACAACTAAAATGTTCAAATCACTATTGCTCCGTGGGTTTTGGACAGTTGATCTATTTGATCGGTTACATTGCAAAAAAATTCAATTTGGTCTCTGCGAATAAACCTTTGAACAGCCCACATGAATGACAAACTTCATGCTCCGTTTGGTGATCATAAGTTTGCTTTCAATCGTACTGTCGCAAAATAACTCACATGATTAAGTTCAAGCGTAAATACGATGCTACTAGCCTATGATTCAAAATTGCTGCTATATGAATGAGGGGCTCAAAAGCAGATTTTTGAACACTTTCAATTCGATCAATAAAAGAAATTTATTAAATTCGAACAGATTAATCGGCTGAAATCATTTGATTGAAGTCTAGTCGAATCGAAAGAAGCGGTCAACCGTTTCTCAAATAATTGACTCACGTCTCCAACAATCAATAACTTAATGTTTGAATCCGTCTTGCTGATTCAGGCATCATATGCACCTAAAATAAAGATGATATTACGATCGGTGGTCATTTTCACAATTAAATTAGTAGATCTCCAACATCATCATCGAGCTAAACGTAGCACAAAATTACTCTTCGCGTTGTTGAAGGTTCATCTAATGAAGCTTCTGCTAATCATTTTGCTCATTTTAAGCTTAAGAATCTATTCCTTCTTAACAAACAGCTTAATATTAAAAATGGATCAAGGATGAAACTCACACTCTTTTTGAAGATTTTCAAACAGCCGAGGAAACATCATCTCAACAGCAAACGACGTCATGTTATCACAGCAATTTTGTCTGGTACTGAAAATGATCAACACAACGATCAATTGAAATTATCAGTTTCTGTTTAAGGTTTGAATGTCAGCACTCAGAATCTTTCACCGTTATAGTTAAACTTATTGAAAGATTTTCCGCAAAATGATATGAATTTCGTTACCAACTTTCTAACGCCTCACTTCTCAATTACATGGTTTTTTGTTAATTCAAATTGGAAGTTTGCATCAATTTCTAATTTGAGAAGCTCTTCTTTCACAACTCAATTGAATTGTATTTGCATGAAAACTTTTACTATTATTGTTGCAATTTGAAATTAAATATTGCAAATTGCTTTGATTATGCATTCATTATCACACTTTATTGCGATCTATATGTATATCCCGGTTTTTGAAATATAGTGATGTTGATTGATTTCGAAAAATTATAAAAAATATTAAGAAAAATGCAGAATAAAATGTGCGTTCATATCAGAAATAAAAAATGTCGTTAACGAAAGATATTTCAGTATAATTTAGAAATTCAAATTTGCGGTGTAAGACCACAATTTTGAGACTATTGACATGTAATAAACAGAACAATTTTTTTACGATTTCATAAACGGTTGGAGTTGAATTATCTTGGCTGAAATTGGACGAAGCTGATATCAAATAATTTATTATCTTCAATTGAAAACAGATGATGTTCATGTGTGAAACCGGAATAGAGCTAAGCTTCAAAAAGGTAAAGTCTGAATGTGAAAACAAAATATTGTTCATGAAAAAGAAAAAATTCTGAAAGAGAGAATCGCTAAAGTGATGATGAGCATATCTTTGGCTGGATTCTGGAAAAATCCAAGTTGTGATTGTAGAAGTAGCTGAAAACTTGGTATTTAAAATTAATGTCAGAAATGTTTGGAAAATGAACAATTTGGACGTAATGACATTGGTTTGTATGGAATAGAACGTTCACTATTCATCGATTGCCGGTTGAACTTATTCTAGTTCTATTTTTAACCGATTAATTTTTAGTGAGAATCCACCTATCAGAGCAGCTGAGCTTTAATTGATTTGGGTTAAAGTTATGGAGTTATAATTTTTTAAGATCTGATGAATGAAATTGTTTCACTGATAAGAAACCTTAATATTGTCAGGTTGGTGGTTTTATTCTTGGAAATTCATTTTTATCATGCTAGATAATTTCTCTCCATTCTTACTCCCTAGCTGTGTAATGTAAGAGACTGATAATTTTTTATATTTTCGCATAAATTTAATTACTATTGGAACAGCTATTCAGTGGTTAAAAGATTTGTAAAACGATAAAAATATATTGAATATTAAGTCAATGATATCAATCTCATATTGCTATTGTCGATGATATGCTATTTGAGGTTGTGGGAGGTTTTCCGTCTTCACTTAACGCAATGTTCAGATCTTCCCCATTCTTTGACGATCGCCCCAAAAACTTAAAAAGATCATTTCGTCAACTCAACGAATTGAGATTGATACGATTCAAGCAGGTACGGAATGGCGGCTGCTCATAAATTGGTTCACAAAGGAATCACCAACTACGTCGATACCGATTGGTTTTACATAATCGGATTCACCGCTGCTACTGATGTCACAGCAACTACAAGATGATTTACGGATATTGATCAGTCGATAATCAGAGTTGACATTGCACGCGACATTAATAGAAATATTCTTTACGAAAATAATAGAGAGATGCTCAATAAAATCAATAGAAATGTCTGAAATCAACGATATGCTGATCACGCTAAATCAGTCAGAGACTTATTCAATCCTTTAATTCGTCACTAAAAACCAAAGTTTTCAAAAGCCACTCTTACAAGGTTTCCGCTTATTACCAACGATTTAAAACTGTTCCTTCCCTGCTGCTCCTTTTAAGCTAGCAGAAATGATGATGCAAATTTTCATGTATTTAGTGGATAGGTAACAATTTAACTATTTTGAATTCCTTAGTTCATATTCATTTTTTTCTTTCAGTCCAAGCACCAAGCTTTCAACAATACTCATTTGCACATTTTCTACTTGCAAAAACTTTTACCATTGATACTTTCATCAAAAGGTTGACTACCATTTACTACATTAAATCTGCGCTTCTAACAAATAATGTTCATTATTTTTTGCATCTACTACTCATCAGTTCTGTCCGAGAGATATTTTATTTTTAGATTTCTCATTGGTCGAAATTCAGTTTTGCATCTGTATCTAAGATACATAAGGATGCCATAAAATAGATTGTTTTCGACTTTTAATCTCATACATTTGAAGCTTCATTTCCTTATTTTACATGTTTTAGGTTTCCTATCTTGATCAATGATCTCAATCAAATTCGCTTTTCATGTGTGTTATAGATGGCACTGATTACTCATGATTACTCTGATTAGTGATTATCACTTTTAAACGTTATGGAATACAACTGCATTTATAGAAGCGCAATCTCTATAGCCTATCTATTGATTAGTACAGTTTAGGCTCATGTTAATCTAAGGAAAACCAAGAATTCAAATAGGTAACAGATACGGAATCATTACATTCCTCAGTAGTTGAAGTTCCCTTAAATTTGTACTTTCGCGACAATGGATTGAAAGACTTTATAATGTGAATTAGAACAATTGAAATTCATATTTTTGGCTCCGCTGATAGGTGGCCTTGATCTGAATCCAAGGTACCAATGAAACAACCAGTTACGATGAAACAGGTAGGGAGTCCAAAATGATACATTAAAGTTAAAAATTACTAGACAAAGAACATCGTAGAAGACAAAGGTGGGGCTCTCTATAGTGTCTTCGGATACATCGCAGAGAGGCACGGAGAAAACTGATCTCAGACACCGAACGACTGAATATAGACATCCGGGATTTTTTGAATATTGCAGATGACCGATACTTAATAACACTCACCGCTATTGGAATAGTGAATCAACCTGCAAAATCACTAGATATTATTATTGAGTCGCTAGTAAAAGCTGCAATCGACTCTAACGAAATTTGAATTCTCGACGAACAAAATCATATTGAGTGCCTCATCCAGTCCACTGAATCACTTTCGGTCTAAAGTAATTATCATATGCTTCACCTTTTCAAACACTTGTTCAATGAACGGTTGATTGTCTTGAATGACAAAGGAATCAGAAACAGAAATAACAGCGGTTCAGCACATTATCGAAGGTTCACAGACGTTGCGTATTGTGCTGCGCTTCTTCAGCTCAAAAATAAAGCTGTTGCAAATCATCTCAGAGATATTTGCTTAGGACGCCACGCATTTCACGTCACCGAATCCATGCCCCTTTTTCAAGCCCAAGACAGTTTCAGCAATATCGATCAATTAAAAAAAGAGAGGTTGCCAGCAACAACATCAGCATCAGTGAACGAGAACCAAGACGTTGAGGTAGCAGATATTCTGCTAACAAATTTGACCTCATCACTTTCTGCTGCATTTAGTCACTCCCCCAGCAAGTGCAGAAATTCCAAGACGGTTTAATCTAATCAATAAAAGATATCAATTGAGTATGCTGATCACCACAGAGTTGCTTATGCAATTGATTGAAAATGAGATTTGAAAAAAGCTAGTGCTATAGATTATCATTCCACTGATAAATATGTTTGTGACTGTGGTGAAAAAGTTCTTGTTAAAAATATTGTTGAATTAGTATCTGATCAAAAAAAAGAAAAGATATTTATTGAAGGCGTGAGTGTGGACAATATTTGTGCTAGAAATACACACGGCCTGTGTTGCGTTCTTATCGCTATCTGATATCATCCATATGGGATCCGCTTCAATCAATATTTTGTGCAGAAGAAAATATTTAATAGCCTTCGAACCATTCACATCAAAAATATTCTTCACATTCATGCCGATTGCCGATCGTGCATCTACATGTTCTTTAGAACTTGTACTTTTCAAAATTCAATAGTTTGATATATTTAATAGAACCTTATCGTATTTCACTTTTAAATTTTTTGTGATTTTCATTAAATGATCACCTTCCGTTACCTAAAGCAATTCGATTAACATTTGCAACACTTATATTTCTTCTCTTGAACCATATCCAATTTCAGTGGACGTCTTTTTGATATTGAATTGGAACAGCATCTGACTTTTGCTAAAGTTATACGATTATGATCATTTGAAATCTGATGATCGAATATCTGTCTTTCTTCTAATCGCTCACATCGTAATGCTGCTTTTCTAATTGCCGATAGCGTTGCCTGCACTCCAGCTAAGCTCATTAGTTCATATTTTGGCTTTATTTAAGAAGTAATAGAACTTGGAAACTTTTCATTTTTCCAATTAGTCATTACGGTTCTGAAATGTTATGTAGTACATGAATAACTAAAGAGAATCAAAATCACAATAAACTGCATTTTAAATTATATTGATCAGCTGCTGATGATAATAATTAGCAATATCCAAGCCCAAATTTTATTCCATTTCCATCCGTTACTTTGCACCATATTTGAATTTGCTGCAAATATCGACATTGGCAACAATAAGCTTAAGTAAATCATGGTGCCAAATCAATCGATTACCACTGATTGGATTGACTTAATACACCACACTTTCAAAGAAGTATCATCATATTACGTAGCTGTTTGATATAATCAGGTATGTCATTTTTTGGTGTGACATTCGAATGGCACATTTGTTTGATTTGACGTTCATAATTGAAAAGTGTATGATGAAAAATTTAAAGAATATCGGAGGGTTCTATATCGGCATTAAGAAAAATATTTGAACTAGCCAATTTACAAATAATGTAAAAAGTGAAATATCGAAAAGGGACAAGGAATAATAGAGTATCAGGCTTTAAAAAGGAGGAAAATATTGATTTATGAGATGATAGAAAATTATAATTCCATATGGAAGATTCAAGTGAGATACAGTTGAAATGTCAAAATAGCAAAGCAATAACCGCAGATAGATATAGTTCAGTTGGGAGAATCGAATAACATTTCTTCAGAATAGATTATGTTTTGCAAAAAATAAATAAACAGAAAATGAAATAAGTGAGTAACATAAATTATGAATAGCTTAATTATAGAAGTCAAATTGTTAAACTGTTGATTAATATTCCATTCGTTTTATTCAAGAAATGAAAAATTTCTGAAACGACCAGTAGTTGTCAACTTGGTGTATTTGGAATGGAAGTGAAAAATAATTGCACCGCAAAACATGTGAAGGCAATTAAATGAATTGGTTTCGCCTCCTTTCAACCTGAAATCTATATTTTAATTCATTCAAAAATAAAGGAATTTATCTAACATCTTAACACGCGTTCCAAATGTAGTTGGGTCAGCAAATCTGTTAGGAATGTCAGCGTCATTTTCTTTTGTACTAATAAAACGCAGCTCAATTTGTCTATTCCATTCATATTTTGCAATAGAAAAATAAAAAACATCGGAATGCTTGGATCGAATCGCAGTAAAAAATGAATGGATAGTGTCCGAAAAAGATGTTGATCAGCATATCCTTTAATAACGGCAGCTGGTGTTTTCGGTTCGCTTAATAGGTTTCAATGGAAAATTCACTTTTCATTATTTCAGTTGAACCCACTTATTGAAAATGAGGGGATGGCACGCAGCAGGTTATGGGGTTGTTGAACGCCTTAAAAGCACGTTAGTACTTCACACTCTGAGAATGCCACTTTGTCCTTCTCTTGTCATTTGGTCACTTCCCCAGTCACCGTCATCACCAGCGCTCTCATGTAGAGGTTCAACAATGAATAATCATTGGTCTTTGCAGATTCAATTATGCAAAAGATCGCAAATCAGTGCGACTTAATAACAGATAATTATTAAAGTAATGAAAGTACAAGTATTTTGACTGACAAACATGTTACAACACTCTTAAGCAACGAGCTGAATGGTGTTTTAAACGAGTATCTAGATCTTTGCTTAGAAAAGATGTGGCTTTTGAACTGTGATATCCAACAGTATCAGCGATATTGAGAATAATACCAACAACTGTACTATGTTCTCAAGAAACATTTGCAGCAAGAATTAGGGATTGAACATCGAAATCTAATCTTTCCGTTAACCCTTTTTTGAAGTCTTTATATTTTGTAATTAGTGTCCGGGTAAGTTGATTCATAAAACCATTGCAAAAATAGTGCTTCAATCATTTGCCCATTATGATTCGGTTCCAAAGAACAATTATTGGGGGTCTTCGTTTTTCATTGCATCATGTTTTAAACAAAGTCTCTCCCTTCCGCAATTTCATCTTCTCGGTTTCCAGTACTTTCAATATGTTCAGCAGAGCATTATATTTGAAAATCAGAACTGTAGGTCAAAACTAGATTGATTAGACATTAAATGCATTTACTGCATGCCTGAAAACCAAATGTGACTGTTTTGGTCCCAATCTGAGCAGATCTGGTGAAGCCCTACAATGCCATTTTTAATCTCAAACATTTTCTTGCGATCTACAGGGTCAAATGCAGATGTGGATCCTCCAGCAGGAGGATCAAGTAATTCACAACAGTCATTTGGTCTATTGAAGAAAGAGGCTGTGATTAATTGCAGATTCCGCTGCGGCGCATGACCGCTCATCAAAGCAGTGATCCTATCATATGATAGTTCCTGAATGGTCCGTCGCAACTAATATCGAAATGGCCAAGTTCTTAAAATAATTATTTTCAATTAATGTTGCCCTTAAACGTTCTAATCAATTAGCTTCTTGTTTAACCTTAAATGACAGCTTTCTTCACACTATGTTGTTTCCCTGATGTTGCTGAACCCATGAATAAATCTGATTCTCTCATTTAACTTGATCTCATTTATGCCAGCGGATAACAGTTTAAAATTTTCGTACTGTAAACATATCAACTGAAAGGCGACATGTTATACTTCAATCAAGATAGCGATGCGTAGCATTTTTTGTTAGCAACTGAATCCATTGAAGTCTGAAGATATCTTTTGATCTTTTCAATTTCACCGACGAATGACTCTGTCGTTCATCGACGGCTTGCTCAATTGATGGTGATGACTTCTATCCATTCAAATTATCATCATTTTCATTATTCGATACGCTATTCTCCACACATTGTACGCGTACCTGTTGTAACCACAGTGCCAAGCAGATTAGCCACGCTTCATTGTTGGTTTCAGATTCTTAATAGATCTCTCATCAATATCAGACGACTAGTTAAAACCGAATATGTTCAATAATGATGATACGACGATAAGATTGATGCCGTGTTCGTTGAAGGTGTCTTCAACAACACAAAGACCATTTCAATTTGGTTTTCGATTGATATAATAATCAAGGAATCACCAATATCTTTGGATATTGGATCACACATTTCAAGATAGTCTTCAATAATGAATCGTTCTCAAGGTACGTCTGACAATTGAGGATCAATCGAAGATTGATAGCCTGTTCAGGAGATTCTTCAAGTATGGCCAAAAAATTTTTCAGCTCCAATGTTTTCAAGTGGTATTGAATAATCTAATCAATATCGATAATTTGGATTGTTCGTTGCGAATGAAACTACACCGAGCATTATGCTTCACATATTTTCTACATATAAGGAATATCGTTTGATAAACAAAAATCATAAAGTCTACCAGGAAAATTGTTTTCAAGAATCTATTGCCTCAGATTTAAACTTGAAGAAGAATTTTGCACATTAGATGCAACATCCATTTCACCATTCACTTCTTTTGTCGTAAGCACTTTCCGTCAGGAATAATAAAAATTACTCCTTGTAATATAGTTGAAGGAAAAACTACGATTTTAAAGTGCTTAGATTGATCATTAATTTGCGGAATCAAAGTCACACATTGGACTTTTCTTTTTCTGATTAATTTGGTTTCATGAAATATGCGAGTTTCTTCTTGAATGGATGAAACAGATCTAGTGACTTTATCAAAGTAGCCATTTTGCTTAAAAACTTATTTTATCGCAGTTGGTGCTCATTTCAGTGTTTGATAAGATTCGCCCAACTGATACTTTTGTGAAGCAATCAAATGTCTAGAATATTATCAATGATTTAACAAATGATTGGGTTTCATCGGATATGAAGTCGAGAACGTGTCCAACACTAAAGTAAGATTGATAATCAGGAACGATGAATCCATGAGATGAATGAATTGGGCCAATTAACCCAGCAGTGATGTATTCTTCAATAATTAATTTATTTCAGGTTTGAAATTCAAAAAGTTGTCTTTTGATTAGAACAGACAAAGAAATATCTCGCACCATTGATGATCCACTAGTATCGTGAGAAGAGTCTTGATCTTTGTTGAGATTTTCATTTGCTTCGTAGAGCAATGTAGTTGCGCTAGCGAATTTGAAGGAAATCATATTGATTGTTCAGCACGGACATATTTTGTTCCTCTTCTGCTCCGAGGGTCATTATTTAATTGATTTTCTCACATTGATCCTCAATTACAGCAATCAAGTTAATTGAAAGTTAGTTTTCTTCAACGAAAAGGTGGTAACCATTATAAACCAATTGTACCAGACTAACGGAAAATCTTGGTGAGATTAAAATATATTTAATTTTAGCTAATTGCTACCAACGGATCTGAAGATGTCGCAAATCAATTAGGAAACCATTCCCTCTATAACATCAAAAGCGTTGCGAGCCAAATTTTTTTTTTCACGTTATTGGAAACATCTTCGACTTCTAGTTTAGGACGGGCCGCATACGGAACAGTTTGTTGAAGGGCGGGATAGTCAGCTGAAATAATACTGCTTTGCTCATTCGACGCTTGGTGTCTCATTTCAATGATGCATTGATTTAATAAGTCTCAGTGATGCTTAAGCTTTTCAAAGTATCGTGGATTGAGAAACGGTGGATTAATTTTAATGGAGATGGATACTCCATGGTGTGGTTTCTACTTCTATTGCTATTCATTCAAAGAATACTTTCATTAGTGCGGCACCAACGGCAGTAGACCGACTTGTAGCTCGATTGGCACCACAGACAACAACGGATCTTGTTGAGTTTAACCCATCAGTATTTCCGTGATTCCTATTTCACTTGATGATCTAAGTTTTAATTAACGCCCATTCAGCACCGGTGACAAACATATCATTCTTCGTGGATTCAATTTAAATATTGATTTCAGCAACGTGACTCTGGCCAACGTCGAATTTTGAAAGAGATTTAAAGATTGTGCGAAAAGAATATAGGAACTCTATCAGAATCACTGATTCACTCTTGCGAGCTATCTCAGGAAAATATTCAATATTATAGTTTCATCTGTAGTTTGTGGGAGTAGTGTCTCTAATAATATGCCTACTTTACAAGTGTTTCAGTAAATATGAAAAGTATTTACGATGATGATATGATGTCTGAGCTTTTCATATCAGCAATATAAAGTAAATATGATAGAATGCATTCATCAAAAATCTACTAAGTAAAATATCTAGAATACGTAAAACTGTTTTAATATTTGACAAGCTTAAACATAGGATTATTTGATATTATGAGATTTAAATTATAATGGATGAATTACCTTAACTTGAATTAAACAAGGAAAATTGAAAAGGGGCTGGTTTTCGGTAAAATAGAGTAATTTTAGTTATAAACGATAATCTAAGAATGTGCAAATAGAATTACATTAAGTAGGTACAGATATAATTAAAAAATATTAAAGGTTAATGATTTGATAGGTCTATCAATTGATCTGACGCTTGACTGCCTAACAGGTAAAAGCGGTTGTTGTGGTATACTTGGAAATTGGAATGAATTTGAGAAACATTTGATAACCAAAAGGGCTGAAGGTAGCTTATTCTCCTTTTCCCTCTTCCACACAAAGTGAAATTTATATTGCAATTTGATCACAATTAATAACTTTATTTCATCAGTTTTCCAGAAGCTTGACACATAGTTGTATCAGCAACTAACTTGGTAAGAATGTCGGCATCATTCCTTTTTGATTTATTAAAACTTAGTTGTACTTTCTTCTATCAAAAGATATGGAGATAAAGCGGTCTCTAATATTTATAAGCTTCGGTCGAATATATTTATCTGAATACAAGGGAAGTTACAAAACCGAACCACTATCATCACATTAATCAATTGAGGGAACTGGTGTTGATAGTTCGGTTAAGATGTTTTGAAATATTATTCCACTCTCGATTGCTTCAGCTAGTGAGAGTTCTCCGCTCGGGTAGATCACTACGCCGCAAGCTATTGTTTCATTGAAGACCTTGAAAGGAAGCTGCCAATCATCGTTGGGGAGAAGGCTCCTTAACTTTTTGTTGTGACTCATTCACTTGCCCAATCACTGTCACGAACAACTGTTAGCTCATGAGATGATTGCATTGGATAATTCTGCAATGCTCCCTAATCTGGTCTTGTCAAGAAGTCTGCAATCACAATAATATTGTGGAATATTATAATCATGGCTATTAACGGAGATGATTCAGATTCGACAAAGAAGTCGTAACACTCTGGACTCACCAGAGGTATGATCTTGTCAGCTGATTACTAGATTTCCATTTATCCCTCAACTAGCAAATGAAGTATCATTTTGCACAGTAATGGCAGGAGTAAAAACGCAACAACAATTGTATCATATTTCAAATGTTCGATAACAAGATGGACGGGTGAATAATTATCATTTTCAAATGATTTAGCATAAATGGATCTGATTTCAAACAATTATTGTTTTTGGGAACGCAATCGAATGTTTTCAATAAAGGCATTTTGAGTTATCCTATTTCCACTATTTGATTTGGTTGGTACCACTTTTCAACGTGCCTTTTGAAGATGTTCTACTTCTCATCGGAATGTTTGTCAAATGTGATGTTTCTTCATTACCAGTATCATTTTACAGTTCCTTTCTGAAATGATCAAATTTAATCACACGCAAGAATTTTATCTCTTAGCTATTTCGATCAACTCCACCAACTACCGACTTTTAAACTCACACTTCTTGTGGAGCTTATCCCGACCAGCCGTCAGACAATGTATTAATCAAACAAAAGTTTTAATTCTATTATTTCAAAATCTTTTTCATCTGGTAATTCAAGGTATTCCATTGCCAAACTGAAAACTCTTTAAATTTGGTTATAGTGAGCCAATTACGGACCTCTATATTCTCATAAAAAATTATGGCATTTGTGACTAGATCATTCACAGTTCCAGATAGGTTTTTTACTTTGGATATTGGGCTTTTTAAATTGCATATTTATTCATTTTTGACGCGTACAAATTATCTGTGAGATGAAAAACAGAGATTTTTCCTTTTGTTTCAACTTTGCTTTTATACCAATCGGAAGGTAAAGAATTCTTATAGATTGTTTCAGTGAGAATGCAGATAATGTCAACATCTGATTCTCTTGATCAATCACATAGTTAACTTACATACAATGGACAACCTCAAATTTGAACTGATTCCCAATCTTCACTGTGTTCAGTCTTTGAACACCCCCCAAATTCTGATATAGGCCAAAATCATTCTAACGCAATCTTTACGTGAATCAATTGATGAAAAATATAGCCTTGAGGGTGATGCCGACTAACCGTTGCTGAGAACTAGGTTAACTATAAGAATCATCAATTGCATTGACTGTGATGAGTTCAACGTATTGAGACTGGTCGCTGCTACTAATGATAATGAACACCCACAATAATTTTCAAATATTGTTCAGGAAATAATCATTGCGGCAGTTGAAAACAAACTGACAGGAAACTACCCAAACGACAATGGCATCGATAAGTTCATTGAAAACAATCATGGATTTTTGAGTCAGCGTAGTTATGCAAAAGCAACGATTCGCTGACAGTCATTAAATTCATCAATCAGATAATCAAATCATTAAAAATTGAAAAAGTAAATTGGCGTGAAGTCTGGCCATCAGACAATATGTTGGGACATTGCCTGTTACGCCCGCTCTTAAATTAAATAAGAGTAGCAGCATAATATCTTAGGTCATTACTTGAGCAGGCAACTCACTGGAACGCTCAACTGATAGCGGTTTTATTTTTTAATCACATTGTCACCAACATTGATAAGTTGAATGAAATGGATTGTTTACAAATTGATCAAATCAACCGAACTGAGTACTGGTTGATGCAGCAATTGCGATATGAATCGACATCAAATGCTTGGACAGTGAGTGTGTTTGGCCTACGGAGGAAACTGCTGAAATCGAAGGTGTTTACAAACCAATCAATAGAATTAGCTAGTTGGATATCCAAATGACTTTGAAGTTGCTATCAAAAATAGATTTCAAATCAATGCAAGATGTTTCAATTGATTAATGATCATTTCAATGTTCAATAAACCCTTAATTGGAAAGGAGCCTTTCAAGCTGTAAACAGAATTGATCAATTATGAGACCAAACATTAAATGATATTATTGAAACTACTCAATGGGCACAATATTCGCACAACCAAACAAACCGAAAATATTGGGTTATATGAATTTGAGAAGCGAAAGACAATTTTACCTCACCAACGAATATCAATAGTCTTCTCAAATTGGTTGAGAATGGTGATGGTGCTGACCTTCGATGAATCAGTCCATCAACCGACCAGCATGCCCTCCCTACTGCTGACGATGAAAGAATAATTCGAACAAGGATGTTATGCCCAAAAGATGTGCAGACTGATCTTGATCTGAGCGTTGGCTGTAAGTTGGTTCAGATTTACGTGGACCAACAACATTGCTCGACGAATTGATTGAATACATTTGCACACACTGGATACACATTTGCCAACATCAATGGTGCAATGAAGACGTAATGGACATGCTGCTGTCTTTAACAAGAGACCACACTTACAAATTTGCACTTAAATTGAGTTAATTGGTGGCGGCAAATGCCGCTAAAGTTAGTGTGTCCAAGTATTGGCGTGTTTAAAGTGAATGTTGACAGTCGAATATCCATTTATTTATAAATTATAGATTCACGTTCAAATTAGATGGAAATACATCATTGGCTAATTCAATGTCTTTTGAAGATGGATTACATAGAAAAGCAAACAATTTGTTCTGCTCTATTCAATCAGATGATGAATTCATTTCAGATATCTTCAAAAATTTTTCGAATGGGTAAGTCAAGAGCTTCTAACTCAGTAAGCCAAATGGGCCTTTTCAAAATTGAAAAGCTGATAACTGCGACAACCAAATGAGAAAGGAAAAAGAGCAACTAATGGTTGACTCAATTGCTTTTAATCAATATTAATGCTTTGCATCTGCTGACTCGATCCTTTTTCACAATTACCTTACAATCAATAATAAATTTAAATCTCTTTAACAAATGGTTTGGCAAACCAAAATGAATCTCAATCTCAATGCTGCAATTGGTGTTCAATTCATGGGCACAATTGTAATGTGAAGGAAATCATTGTTATTGAAAGCATACCAATGGTACATTTTTTTACTCCAATTAATCAAAGAACGTTGCATTTCTGTTGGAGAATCACTCATTCACCATCTATAGACCAACCTCATTGCGATCAACCAATCATCTTTATATATCTGGATTAAGTATATCAATTCCCGTTCAAAAGCGTGAAGGACCAGGCTGTTGTCATATTAAATCAACTGCTGGTCCAAGAATCCGTTAGTTTTCGTATGACCTTCAATTGGCGAACTAGCCCTTTATCAATAATAGTGCTGAAACCGATATGGAGAGGAGTAAACTGTTAAACAAAGCTAGTTGTGATTCCTCGATTGCCCCTTTGCACAAAGATCTCCATTCGATTGCTGCCCCTATTGTTGAGAAAATGAACAAAGGGTTTCCCACAATTTCAATTGTTGAATCAACGTCAATCAAGAGTTTGCTTGCGGACATTTTTCAGAAATTGAAGGCAAATCATTGAGAAGAATCAGACAAAGCAGTTCATTTGGTATCAAATCCAAAAGGGATCATTCCAACTTCGTTCTGAGATGTTTGCATGCTCCGATATAATAAAATGGCAATCAACTACTAATAGGAGTTGAATCTAATTTTAAGACAGATGTATATTCAGGAGATCTTCGATTGTCAGTGAATGACAAGATCGTAAATGAGAATTCGTATTCCATGTTCTGCAGAAGGGGCACGATTCTGAACTGCTTGGTGGACGATTAGTTGCCGACGGATGCTCTCAAAGGCTTCCTATTACGCTATTGATCTTTATGCCACCGGTTAAAAACTCGTGAAATTACATTAATGATATTTTTAGCCGTGATTAACCGCTACAATATGGCCAAATGGAATGCCAACACAGCTAAGTTCCATGCGTTAACTGACCATCCGGTTTAAATTGACTCGCTTCCAGCAATTTCTTTATCAAATGAAAGTTTCACGAAAATACCCAACCGATCTTACTGGTTGAAGCAAGCCAGTGCAATTTTTTTGAATCCAATCAATCGCGATCTCTTGACGCTAGCAATTTCTACGCTGGCTGATGTTTGATCCGTACAGCCTCTACAATTCAGGATACTTAACCAATGATGATGTTATTGATATATTATTTGATGGAAAAGCAATATATCATAATGATAAAGCAAAGAGAATAATTATCATCGACCTTCCCATGAATGTAATAGGATCAGCCAAATTGGTTCTTGAACTTAATGTTGAGCATACTAGTGATGGAGAATAATGTTCTTCAAAACCGGTATTTAGAGTGTTCACTTGGTCTACAAAACACAAGAACTAAAAAAATTGAAATCACCTATAGCCAAAACAGTTTGAAAATGAAGTTCAGTGAAGTATCCTTGATGTTATTAACCACGAAACATAGAAATGACATGTTGGTGGTTCACTCTTAAGGGCGGTAACTATTAGACTTAATTTAGCTTGTGCCACATCACCACTATCCAATTATTTAGTTCTTTCATCAAGACATCATCTGTGTGGTGGTTCCATCCTGGGACAAGTTGCTTTTCTACGAAAACGGTTGTCCATTCGTTACTATACTTTTTCAATTAGATCGAAGAGATCTTAGACTTATCGGAATTAATTAAATATCAATCATTGACGATCCAGTGAAACCAGCTCTCCAACTAAGGAAAGTAAGTTTCAGTGTTTGGGAATGTGATAGAATCACCAAGCAAAATGAAAATGGATCTTCACAATGACAAATGGTGAGCAGCTTTCTTGGTCCGGAATGAATCAATCCGTTGGTGCGTCGTCGTCCAGTAGAAGTGACTGCCATAAACAAAACCAAGCAATGATATTCCCAGTATGCTTTCAAACGATTTTAGACGAGGAGAAAAAGCCGGCGGTCCTCTAAGAAAATAATGTTAATGATTGGGCCTATGAATTTTTCCTTTCATTTTTATTGCCTAACAGTTCCAAACAAACTTAGTTTTCATTAATATTTTTTGATGGAATCCAATTCCAAATGGAAATGGAACTCAGTTAAATCGTTACAACTGTCAATGTCATGGACACTTCTCCCTAATTAGTTGATTGAACTACATTTCAATCTATTGTTAATTAATTATACCACTTCCAGTTGTTCCATCAAATTACAAAATAAATTGCAATTTGTGAAGAGCTGCGAGAGAACCCCGTTACTACTTAGAGCCATTCCTGTTTGCAACAAATTCTCTCATTGATTCCAATTAAGCACGTTACAACGACATTGACATTTCTTTCTTCAACGTTATAGGATTTCAACAAATGGTGTAATTAGCAATCCTTGACTATTCCACCTCTATAATTTAGCTATTCTAAATGAAAGAAGTTTTTTTTTTAAGGTTGACGGTCTTTTAAAAGTAATTAAAGGCTTCCAGTTTAGATTTATTATGATCTCATAATACTTCATCCTCCTTTATTAAAATCCCACTTTTTCTAGAATTGAACGATTTTATTTTGGATCGCTGACATTTCATTTTTCAAGAAAATTCTTCTTTTTAACTATTCTATTTAATCGTGTTATAAAAGGAAGAGATAATTTTCATTTTTTCGAAATAGTTCGCAGAATTATCTACAGTTCTATAATATAAATATTTTATCGAAATATCGATGGTGATAGATCATACTTTTAATGATCATAATGATCTTTTATTCAATTATCCTTCAGCAAGCAGGGTAGAATGTTGACATTTTCATTACTTAAAATATCATAAGGATTAATGGATATTCAACAATTTTAGTGTAGAGCAAACCTGCTGCGATCATACAAATAGAGTAGCTATCTCTCATCTGGAACACAATTCTATAGGGATTGATGGTAATGAGGGGGCTTGCTTCTGAATGAAACAATTACTTCTTTAGATCATCATCATGGTCTTTGAAAGAAGCTGTTCCCGTAGCAGCTCCAAGAAAGCTGCTCTGTCAATGAGATCATTTCAAAAAGCAGTGATGGCATATATTTCACACGGACGGCAGTTGTAAATGGCGGCTATTGAAACCAAAAATGTTATTAATTGATACATTCCAACTGCCCGATGCACTTCAATAGAGCAGTGGGCAAGTTATTGAGGAGATTCATTTCCAAGCTATCCTGCCTCACTCCGTTCATTTCCATCACCTTCTTGAATATCGTTCAATGTGCAATTTAGATTATCTATTTTATCATTATTTGTCATGTTAGTTCAACAAACGCAGAAAAAATACTTTCAAGAATTAAATTTATTTTATTTACCAAAGCTCATAACTGATTTAATTGTAGTGGGTTCCATAAAATACCTCACAGGAATCTTACTAGGACGTTCTTGATTTTTGATTCACAAAATTCCGTTGCTAGTAATCAGAACAAGAGATTGACGGATGTGGAAGTTCTTCAATAAGAATTATTTCTCCTCAGCACGAGCTTGCTGATTGATCATCAATACCTTCGAGAATTACTGATGGATTTCATTCATTCAAGAAGTCAATTTTTTTATTCATCGACTAATTGATTGCCTGGAGCTATTTTTTCTGTTACGGAATTGAACCTTCCTATGTGGCCGGGTAGTGTTCCTAAGAGGACTGTGCTTAATAATAGAACTGCTGTCAGTCGCAAAGCAGTTGTACAACAACCAATCCATTCATTAGTCATGAATCCAATATTTTATTAGTAACGATTTGATTGCTATTATCCTTGGAACTGCGAACAGCAATCGAATGGAAGTCTTCAATTGAGGTTGCGGTGTAACATTCTTTAATATCGTTGTTTTGAATGTTTAATCATCTCAAAATTTCTTTCAGTGATAATACTTTGGCAAGTCGAGTTCGATAGTTGACGTTCCAACGAACACTAATAGGATGCTAAAGAAAGAGTGGGGCCTGTAGTAGAACGACTTGGTGCTTCAATGTCTCCGACTGGTTTTGATTTACTTCGTTTAGATTGGTAAAAGTGATCCGTTGATTTCAATATAATGCTGCCAGAAACGCCTTTGAGGTGTTTTCGCAAATACGAGCAACGTTGCTTGAAGAGCTAGAACCAAGGAATGTAGCATTGCTGTCTCTGTTAAAATTCATTTTTTTCACATTTTTATTTCAGCCAAAGAATTGAGCATCAAGTGGATCATCGACCTTGAGACTGTTTTATTGTTGAAGAGTCTTTTCTAACGGAAATTCACATTTAATAATTAATGGCGTTCAATTTTGCAAAACCATTGAATTTCTACAAGAAATGTTCCAACGTTGATTTGAATCAATACTTACTCAGTTTGATCGCTAGAATGAGTCGTACGATCATTCTTTCTTCTGCAGTTTTGTTTCATTGAGCTGTTGGCGCCTTGATTTTGTTACGATTAATGAAGTGCGGCGACTTGATCTGTCTCACCATTTTATTTCGGGATCGACTTAAGGATATTTAAAGTGAGTTCTTCATTTGTTTACATATAATGTTGCAATTTGTTAGCCGATCCGAATATTCTTTCAAGTATTAATTCTGACGCAATTTGTGAATGAGTTGTTATTGATTTCAAGCTAAGCATTTCCAAACATGCGCAATAAGAATTATGGTCTTAAAACTAGTGATATGCACATCCGTCCAGAACAACTACATCAGCAGAGTATCACTCCGTAATATATTACTCATTCAGCAATGAAATGATGATAATAGTGATGTGACCAAATCCGATGTACAAGTATAAAATCTCTTGAAATCACTTTCATTACCGCTGGTCCTAATGTTGTTTCCGGTTGAAGGAGTCTAGTTTTCAATAGAAGAACGAAAGTAGATCTTGTGAATTTGAAGCGGATGACCGTGGGCGTTGAGAATGACATCCTTTTCAGTTCTTCTAATTTTTCCCACACAAAATTATTGATTTGCTGACGCTCAGCAGCAGTCACAACATCCTCGTCATTTGATGCTTTGTGCTTTTCAAAGTGTTGAATAAAAACATTTTTTTACCTTCAAACTTTGCTTTTATCCAAATATTGTGCACATTCATTCCAATAACCTAGTTTCTAATACTATCTCTGAATTAAGTACCACCTTCATGACCGAGGTAAACGGATATAATCGACTCTGTTACGTGCATTAAATTAATTTGTTTATTTAGTTGTACTTAAACTTTTTATACTTTTAAAATTTAACATTTTCAATTCTTACATCCATATATTTTTCATTGACGTTTAATCTATAATTTATATTCACTCAATTTATTCTTTAACAATGGACCTTAATTTGACTTTTGTTAAAAGCATGCTCTATTGATACTTACAGAACCATAAGATGATTGGCTATTTGATTAGACGGCTCATGTTCCAAGTTTCTTTCAATATTTTAGCTAATTTCCTGTTAGGAATCCAGATAAATTCATCTTTTCAGCTATATTACTCATTGGTGAAATGGAAAACACTGACAATTTTTTAGTTTTATAGTGGTTTACTCACGAATCGAAAGCTATTTCATCGGAGCATATTTCTGGAATCCCCAAGCAAATAAAATCTATATCACATTATCATAATCCACTACCTATTGCAATAGAATTCAATACACAAACAGATTTTAGCATCTTCATCAATTGCATTATCATCCAGATATATGGATATTAAGCTCCATCAAATGAAATGCAATCATCGAGCGAACGACAATGTGACTTCGTTTGCTTTCCTTCAAGAAGATATTCCCTTGTCTTGAACAAAATGTGTGGGGCTTCACTGAAGCAATTCAAGCCCTATAGCATTTTCCAACCGTTTTTTTTTTATCTAGACACCCTACCAGAAGAAACAGAATTAGCTGGCTAGGTAATCGCTCCATTCGAAGAGGCGGAGTTTTCATCGAATTTGCTGATATTGTAGTGCTCAATGGCGGCATGTGAAACCACTGTGCATAATGTATGACATTTCATAACTAGAAAATATACATTGACAGAGCTATTGGCAAGTTCGTAATATGATTCATTTGCAGCTAATCAAACACAGATTCGATATGAACCATTGGTCTTACGATTATCATCGAATACTCATTTTCATTCGACAAATTAAGCTTTTGTTGTCTGCGCAGAGCAAGTTGAGTAAACATTGTTGTCATCAAATGGACTTATTTCGTTTGGCATAGCACAAAAGATTTTTGATTTCTCTGCGCTTTGCTATTTCTTCTCAGACCATTTTTCGAATGATATAACTCAAGAAAGGTAGCAGTAAACTTTGTCCCTTTCAAGAAAGAACCCCATGGGGTTCGGGAAAGCTCCTGTATTAAGAACATTGTTTCCTCTCTTGGAGTTATTTGGGTGATCTTGAGCTTACTCAACAATCTCTGATGATTTCACTGGATTAAAAAGCAATTATCTGCGTGATTAAGAACAAGTATTGTCCTAACTTAATTTTTTCACATGTTGATGCATTTGGTCCTAGGTGCTTTGGTAATCTTCATAGCTTCTCAGCCATTTCATCATCGACTTGATATCAATGTCTGATCGGTGGTGAAGACGCCGATTCAAGAACGCAGTTCATTTCAGCATGTGAGTAGTAACCAAATCCTTGCCGATATCTTTGCAAATATCAAAACAATTAAATGTAATTTGTCAATTCTTAATGTACTAACAAGATTATTGATATTAACGTATAATGGTGCACTAACTGAATATTTTTCAGGGGATCAAATCCGTCATAGCATGAGTGTGACAGTTAAAAGTCAATCGAAAAACACTGTGTTTTTGCAGACATAGATGACTAGTTTCCACATCAGGTGCACCTTCAATGCTCCCAACTGTTATTAGAAAGTCGGATTTATACTCGTGAGTTTGAATGACCGTCTGAATAGGCCTGCTATCAATAATCTTCTTAATTCCTCTCCAAAATGGATGGAACTCTCTCCAATCAACTAGAGCAAAGCAAAGTACAACAGGCTTTCCTTCTAGAAACTGATGTCTCACGTTGGGATTGAGGTCCAACAAGGAAACAGCAAAAGGCGCATCGACATCAACTTTCTTTTTTGCTTATCAAAGCAAACAAAATGGCGAATGTCAATTGTGCTTGCTTGGAATATAACTGAGCAACAAAATAGAGTGTGATGATGCGAGGTTGGATTATTGATTTAGGACCTAGTAGTTGGTCATCGGTTCCTTCACTTTCATTTTCTTTGGTTAGATTGAACTGTGGACTCTTCGACTTTCGTAAGATGAATTACTTACTGCGTTTGAAGGGATGTATCATTTAGCTTGTCAATGTTCCAAAACACATATGTATTGCATTTTTACTGAGCTTGCATGAAAAGCTGGATTTGTTTGCTCCACAGAGTATCCATTCAATTGATCGTTATCATTAGATTAATTAGTCAGCTGCTTTTCACTTAAAGATGAGAATCTCACCAACGATAAACTTAACCCTATGGTCCGCCAGATCTGAAGTACAAGTGTTGTTTCTCAGCCCAACTGAATCAGCGGAGATGTACTACCGATATATTAATATTTTGGAGTTGGAACATTTTGAACCTTGTGCTTTTACCTCAACAAATGAAGAAGTCAAACAACTTTTTAAAGCAATTTAAATATAGCAGGTAGAATGTATTCGTTGTTGATTACGACATTCAATTGAATAATACAGCAATCATTGTCCTTCACTTGAATTCGAAGCACAGGACATTGGGCAAGAAATGCTTAATTATTTTATATTACTTGTGGACTTAACATCCGTAATTTATTCATTATCACAGATACCTTTCAATCTTGACGTTTACACCAACATGTACCATCACAAATTTCACATTGCAGGATTGTAATAAATGTTTAATTTTTCGAAAGTTCAAATACTATTAATTATTTACAGTCATCAATCTTGAGTTGAAGTTACTCCAATTTTACATGCACACTTTATCTACTTTTGAATCCATTCGTTCAATATCTATAGAAGAGCTATATCTAATTTTAGTAGGAGTTTTGGCATTAAGATCGGCTATCGTCTGATCGATCGATCAGCTCCTTGGTTTCAATCCCTTTAATTTTTGGATTGCATCTTCCACGTCTGATTATTCACCTTTTCATTGCAGATATGATTTTCCTGTCAAGTATACTGATTAGTTCAGCTATTAAAAAACGAATTGAAGCATTGCTTTTCTTAAATCAGTTTATAGTGATGGATATCATTACTATAGATATATGTTATAAAAATCCCGATAAAAAACAATTAAGTAACAACCGATGTGTATCAATGACTTAAAACTCTACAATTCAACTTTCAATTGGGAATCGCAAGCAATTTCTCATTTCTACTGACTCAATCGTTCGAATTCTTACGAATTTTGACATTTGCCTCAATGAGGGGAAGAGAATCATTGAGACAATTCAGCTAAACAAGTTTGATATTGCATACCACTGGCGCTGAATTACCGTTGATTAAAGCTTGGATTAGGGACCAAATCTCCAATTAGGTTGACACAGATGTCCTTAATTGATTAAGATTTATAGCAGCTACTAATGACATTCAAACTCAAAAAACGATTTCCTGGTACTCAAGAGCCGCTGATCGGAGGCTCCACTAGATTTAAAAGAATTTAACATTTTGATGATGCTGACGGTGATGAGATGATTATGATGATTCTTGAAAGCTACATAATATAGGAGTCATTTATATCGTTAGGTATCTTAGATAATTATTCAATCCATCAAGTAATCCACAAGATCACATTGAGTTAAAGCAACAGGGTACTATAGTTTCAGGTCATTTGACTTCATTGAGATCCATTCCTGTCTTTGATGCTCATGCCCATTATCAAAACCAAAATGTTGCAAAGTTACTCAGATGTGGTGCCCAAGCTAGGAACGTATTCGATCTAACCGTATCGTTCACATCTTTGTCATATCATAACTTATTGAAAAGAATCATTGAAATATAGGAAGCAGAATTTTTATCAAATCTTTCACAAGTAATTACGCTGAAGAAAAGCCACCAACAGGCCAATGTTACCATAGGAGAATTTACATCGTCGAACTCTGGTGGTTTGCGGCTAAAGCCGAAATACGCACCGCAGCAAAAATGTGTCATTCGTCGTGAACAACTGAAGTAATTAACTGTTGTTGTCACTTCAATGAGAGAATTGAAAGTTAAACATGATTGGATGCTGACGAGCAATCTATGAATCTTCGTCATTGCATTGTTTAATATGTTTTTCATTGAGGTGCAGCACAGCCACTGTTTCAGGCAGTGTTGACGTATTGACTGCTTTGATGCATCCACACATATTAATCAGAGGACCCAATGGCCACAATTCATGCACAACCAAACCGACAGATAATGCTGTTTATTTACAATGATGTGAAATCAACCCAATTTCCAGCTCACCACAAGATATCACTGCTCATGTCAAATCGCTGAAAGTGGGGTAGAATGCGCAGATTGATACAAACGACTTGAAAATTCACAACTGATATAATTTCTGATTATATGCAGAATATTGGTTGCAAATCAAAATGATGAAATTATTTCAATATACAATATATTTGTATAGTGTTTCGAATAGCATAATAATATTGTGCCGCCGCAGATAATTGTAAAGCAATATATGAAATAATGAAATATCGGTGGTTTTCATATCGTGGATAAAAAGTAAAAATTACAGAATGTATTTCCTTGGAATAGGAGAAGCAGCCTTCACAAACATGAGAGACTTAATCAGACAATCATATTCTGTAATAAGATTATCAAAGATAGTAATGGCATAACTCAACTTGCATTACGAAAAGTTGAAGTTTAACAAATGCAGAAGCTCATGTATAAAAGATAGATGGTAGCTGTCAAGGTAGAATATGTCAAAGGAGCAAAAGTTGAAGTGTGAAGATGAGATTCGAATATCAGTAGGTAAGTAAAAATTAGGGTTATGAAATACTAACAGAGGGGACTATGACAAATCCATCTATTTCTTAAATTCCGCGGCGTAGAAGGTCTTAAGTAGTTGTGCCTGTGGCCTTTGAACTGCAACGGATGTGAAAAACTTCTCAGTAGAATATGGTTTCAAGGCAACTAAATTTATTCTTTTCACGTTTCGACACAAATAGTGGTTTGGATTAAAATTTCATCGAACGTATTAGTCGTGATTGATTAATTTAACATGAGTTTAAGGCGTGGATCATTGAACTAGATTGCATTCAATGCTACCGTGATAGACTTTTGAATTGATATAACTGGGTATTACTAGCCCATTGAAATAAGCTTCTTCATAAAACGAAGATTAATCTCAATATGGTAACATCTATTAATAGTAGAAGAATGAAATGAAAGAGCGAAAGCCAATCAATCATTTCAATACATCAAAAAACTGTTTGCCAGTGCTGTTTGTTCATATAATATGTTGCGAATAGTTAGTCCGCTCTTCGTCACTGCAGTTACAGAACATAACCTGCGTCGGTAGAGCACCACGTACTAAGAACTCGCTTGTTTCAGGTCCAGGAGTGCTGGTCACCATTTAATATTGTGAACAAAAGCTACCTTGATGTTTGCTTATCGTTACGTCACTTGCCGAATCACTGTCACTGACAACTGTCATTTGAAGAGCTGTTAGCAGAGCTCCATTACCCAGTGTTGTATATTCCGTCTCGTCAAGCAGTGATCAATCAGTATGATCTAAAGTAATCATCTTATCAAAGTAATCAATCGAGAAGTCTTTTGTTTAACAAATATATTGGGGCACTGGCAAAACCCAGATATATCATGGTTTCATGGACAAACTAATTGTGTGCTTACCAGGAATGTGCCTTATCAAATATCCTAGTTATCAGAATCATCTACAGCTTGTAATGCAACCATAATAGCTCTATATTTTGAACGGACTTTAGCATCAAGAATCGCTGTTTGAAAGCCTTTTTCAAATACTCTTCCCAAAGATATGTAAATATTTTATTTGATCCTTCTTGACTCCGTTCGCACTTTCTCCAACGCAATTTTAAGCACATGTTGCGTTAATTCTTTTACTGTTCAATATCATATTGAAGGAACTGATTTAATAATCCTTTATCTTTGATTGTAGAGATTGCAATCACTAATGTCTGTGCTATATTAATCTCAGCAATTGCTCTGCAGCAACTAAAACATGATCATGAAAAATGGATGTCCAACATTTTGAAGTGCTATACAGAACAGGATCTAACAAACCTCGATCGTAGTTATTGCAACCGATAAGACTAAATTGAATTGTAAGGATCAATCTGTCTGAGACATGTTTCTAATCATTCACTCAGTATGAGAGTTGCTTATATCCAATCAATTTCTTCTTTAATTTTGAAACATACGTATTTGATGTAGATTTTCTCCCAAGAGGATCGTCATATACTTGAAATGCAAGAGCTCCATCTCTAGAAAGCTGTCTAGCGGTCAATTTCAAAAGAAATTGCGCTTCCAATTGAAAGCATAAAAATGATTATTCATAATATATCTGATTTCTCAGGTGGAGCAGTAACATCACCATAGCTATGGGCGACCATTTGAAGCAATTGTTTGCAACTAATTTAGTCCGGTCCGGTGAGAACCATTTCTTTCACGTTATTGATTAAATATTGGATTTTCCTTGACTGTTTTGTCTTTAACCACTGTGGCTAGCAACAATGATTGAACGTCGCTCTGCTGAAATCAATTCATTCTGTTTTTTTTAAAAGATATTCCTTATTAACTATCTTGGCAGCTTAGCTCATTTGTCAAGAATGAAAGAAGGATCCCATTTTGATTTCAACATCAAGAATTGCACTCTTATCTCGATAATAGGGCGCGTGGAGCTAAAGTATTGCCCTTCGATAAGTTCACCCTACTTGGGTACGGTGCTGCTCGTTGACCTTGAACTTCTTCAACAATTGACAATGAATCAATGATTTTGAAGTAATATTCATTTCACTATCTGAAATAATGACTCTGCTGAAGTTATATTTTCCATCTTGAAATGATGGATGCTAGCTCCTCCGCCAAACTTCATACTGGCTCTGAGATTCATGATAAAGATGATTTCAATGTCAGGTTGTGTTCTGACAGCAAGCAGTTGATTGGAGATGAGTCAACTATTGGATGCGAGTCAAGTTCATTAAACCAATGATCGAAAGTAAGTACAGCAGTGCAGTCCATGAATTGCATGGCTGATGTATTATTCGAATTCCAATATTGATCAATAATGATTCATTCATCTCAAGACCATTCCTATTGGTAACCCGTTTGAACCTTGGGCAGCTCGGATGATGGTCAAACGAAAAAGGTAGGTCCTTAAAAAAATAATTGAATTATCGGTGTAGCTGCTTGCATGCGGACTGGTTTTAAGTGAATCGAATTGGGCAGCCGAACGAGCTAAATTTCAATCACCGGTGGAAGTGAACTTGTTCTGAAAGTTTTCCTTAGGTTCATCTCCAGAGTAAATCCATTGACGATTGATGAATGGGAACCAAAAAATGATTGAAATAAATATAGATAAAATGTAAATATAGATGAAATGTGAGAATAGATTATAGAATAACATTTATTTAAAATAGATATAGCACCAGTTTGAGAATCGAATAACGTTAACGATCAAAAGCTAAAGTGACAAAGCAATGATAATTCAAGTTCTCATATATAAAACACTTATCTAAATACTTCAACGATAGAATTGTAAAAACTTCAAGTTTTGCCAGACTTGGTGATTGGAATCAATGTAAAACATATCTGCAAAGAAAATGGATTGAAGAGAATTAAATATAAGCTACTCACTCCTGCGCAAAAATACAATCAGAGTTCTAATTGGAACACTCTGAGCAGATACAGTTAGATATAATTGGATTGGATTAGAATGAAATTCATGAACCATCTATCTAAACATGGCAGCGACATTGGGTTCTCTAACAATATAGTTGAGGTATTACATGCTTTTCGAAATGTGCTGAGTAACTGAATCATCATTAACATCATTGTGCTTGGATATACATAGATCAACTTGTATGAAGGGAAAGTGTCATCTTTAAATAAATATCACAATTTGGTTCAATTATGAAATCTGCTGTCTTCTGTTCATTTAGCATTGGTTGAAACAGTTTTCGAGTAGGCATATTCTCCGCTTTTGAAACAGCCACTACTTTCAATAGTTGAGCAATGCAAGAGAAGAAACTTTTGTGAGGTCCAAGAAAGCAGCCTACCTTTTCTGCTTGAGGAGGAGCCATTTTGAGTTTTCCTTGTCAAATTACTACTTGCGGAACCACTCTCACTAGAAAGATATAGTTGGAAAAATCGTTTCACAGAAAGGTCGTTGAAGGATGGATATTTATATTGTCATAATTTCTGCACTCAATATGATTAAAATGAATATTATTACTATCGTGTGATAGTTGCTCATCCACTCTGTTTGGTACAGCGTTTCGTCACCGTCTGAATGCACCAGCAAGATGATCTTTTAATGGATTAGCAAAATATATCGTGGAATGATGTAGCAAAACGATACCAAAAGTGACAGTTGAAGCCATACATGATTGTCTACCTTTTCCAGAACGAGATGTATCATTATCATTAGCAGCAAGAATTGTAGATTGAAGATCATTCTCAAATTTTTCGGTGCTATATATTAATTGTTTTCCAATGTTATCATTTCAGAATTCGATTGAATTGCCTCAATATAACATTTCAATGAGACCTTTTATCAATCGTTTGGTTACTCATCATTAACTAGCAAGGACGATGTCGGAGATCCCAAATCTCTTATTGCGAACTTGTTTATAAGCAGTCCTTACTGTTTGAGTTTCATTCTTTGGTTTTCCGGAAGTGGAACGTGCCTTCCACCCAAATGGATATTAAGCAACTTGATGTAAAAAAAAAACATTGAGCGGACAAACTGAATTGTTGGTTATTCCTAGGGATGAGAGCAGTTCCGATTGTATTGATCGAAAAATGCACAGCTGCGTAGCCGATGGAGTGCCTGTTTCGTTTTCAACGATCTTTATGACGTTTAGAGGTCGATCAGGATGATGAGAACCAAGTAGATAAACAACTGGCTCATTCGACAAAGCTGCCTTTGCTTTTCATTGCCGGATATTGTACGTGGTAAAGGCGGCTGAGTAGCCGATGATCCTAATCGATCATATTGAGCATCTGGGGCCTAACCATCAGTTTTCATGTGGGCCGGCACTTGACAAAAGCACTTTACACCTTTGCTTGTGTTAATCAGCTCAGAGGAATTTGACTGCTGGTTAGCATCGATTTGACAGTTTCTTTTGCATTATTGTTTTCAAATGATGCTCATAACGGCAATGAATAATCATTGTTTTACTTAACACAATTAAGTTCTCTTGCAGTAGAAACTGTCCATTATCAGCTTTGAGGGATTGATAAGCCAACTGAGAAATGTTTTAGAATCTTAGAAATAGATTTTGTTACCCTTAAAGGCTTCTGTTCAGCAGCAATTGTTGATGATTTCAATAAAATCTAGTTTGCTTTAATTGCACTGCTGAACAAAATCGCCTTGTTCTAGTAATATAGTTTCTTGCTGAAGCAATGCTTCCACGGTAGAATGGTAATCTTAATGGTCGGTGCGAGTTTGATCATAGTTTTGTCTCCAATATTAGGTAGCTTCACAGAAAGAAAGCTATCGATTACTTTCTATTCGACACTTGAATAGTTAACCAACAAATTGGAGATAGCTTCAGCAATCAAGAATGATTTTGGTGTTAAAGTTGCCGAAGTAAAATGATTCATGTCATTGCATTACCGTTCACTTTTCTCGAGATCTTTCTCATCGTTCATATTTTTGGTTCTTTAGTTCCACACTGAAAGATCAATGGGACAATGAAAGGTGATTCCTGTTGAACATTGAATATCAGCTGAGCGGCTTGGAGCTTTAATGACATCATCTAGTATAGAATGACTTCATTTTAATGCCTTAATCTGATTCGTCTTGGATTGAACTTGTTTTGAGATTTTTGCCAGACTATTCGCTGTAATGACAGTAGATATATTCGAAGAATTAACACTAAGAGATGAATTCTTGATCTCCTTCTAGAAAATCGATTGTGTGAAATTGTGAGTGAAAGCAATCATTTGAGCACCAAATGGGCTTCCCTCTAAACATCTTACTTTGCTTGTCCAACCACTTTTCCTGGAGCTCCGTACGGATTATTGAATGCAACACAATAGAGCGAATTGATGGTATATGCAAAATGAAAGCTCTCTACTATTCATTTTGAACAATCCAGTAAATCATTTGATGTTTCATTTTTTTTTCATTTTTTTCGTTTAATTGACAGCCTTTCCGTTTTGAAAGAGTAAACGTGCCTGGTGACATGATGGATCGAATCATTTGCATGTCAGAACTCGTTAATAAAGTTGTAATCATGCCATTATCAATTTCAGCAACACCAGGTGCGTTGTTTGTTAAGCTGAGTAATCAGTCAAGTATGATTGTCACAAGAATCAATGATTTTGCTGGTTCTGGTTTGATCCTGACAGCTTGACGATCAATAGCGTTAGATTTATTCTCCCTAGTCTTTAATCATTTCCCACTATTAATATGCGCAGCTACATCAGACGGATGTATATTCTCCACTAAAGCTAATTTTATTATGTTGCAACTTGTTCATCTCTGTGAACTGTTTATATCCGAAATACAAGTTTTGGATGATCATAATGGTGTTTTAATATTGCAGAAAGTGTATTCATTTTGGCGGAAGTGTTCCTTCGATGAATACAATGATGGCTGTTGTTCATGGAAATTTGAAGCAAAGGACATTCAGTAATGAATACAAAATCATTTTGAACGTTTTTGGCCCAAAATACAAGAAATTTAACGCCTTTTTCACACGCAACAATATTCACTCCATAGTTGTCTATTGCAGTTTGAAATTTTCTAACTGACCATCCTAACCATTGTGAGTAACTTGCGCCAAATGTCGAAGGCTAGTGATATTCTTTGGTGGAATTGGAAAATGTTGGTCATCAGTGATTTCTAAACTAGTGCCCTTGAAATTTGTTTCTGTTGCACAAGTATCGTCACCATTGACAACATCGATGTATGTGTCTGCTTTTCTCACATCAACTAATTACTGAACTCGTCTTTCAAAAGGAGTTGATGCACCTGAAGCGTTATCGGATATAACATTGGTATTATTTATTGATCAAACTAACTCTTGCTGATTCTGCATCTATCCTTCTTCAAAATCGGCGTGAAAGTCATTTCCACATTCAATGAATTGATTCATTCTTTGGGATTGAAATGCTTTTGTTCTCCGCTGTTTCCCCTGTAGTAACCATAACCACCATAATTGAAGGATGTAAAAAGTGCTAACATAGTATTTGACTCATTAAAGTGGTTGCCGAATTGAATTGAATCTGCCAAATGTCTTTTGAATTCTTTTCCGTTTCTTCATCAAAGGCCCCGCCGGCCGTCATCAAAAAAAAAATTTGTCATCCGTTAGTGACCATTGAATGTTTTTTCCTCCAAACTTCTATTTCAAGGAACGTCCGCGACATATTCGTTGTCAAAGTTAAGAAAAGCATCAAACGGAGAATGGATCCAAATTCAGCAAAACCCGCTGAACCAATTTGCAGTTCGGATTGGCTTTCTTGATCATCAGGGCAATAATTGATCAATTTAAGAACATCCCAAAGAAGTAAATTTCTTTATAATTACGAAGAATCACTGTCTTTTGTTTCTTTTTAACTTTAATCACTTCACCACTGTCTCCTTTGTAATATCTAATTTCTTAGGATTTGCAAGCCGATGTGACCTATTCCTCATCATCGCCAGAATGTTTCGTTGGTGTTCGTTGACACCTTTCGCAGCTATGACTTCCATTACCATATGCTCATCAGTATCAAAGTTAATGGTGGGTCTGTTGCTGAACCAAGTATTGAACAACGCCCATCCAGCCGCAGTCACAGACTGATTTTTGATCATTAATGGATCTCACCTCATGATTGATTAATACACGTATTCAAGACAATCTGGAAATTTGGAAGACATTCCTTCCTTGTGAAACAATACATTGGTTTCAGATAACATGTGAGATGTTATAATTGATTTTAATATTTTAAGTGGTTGAATAGTTGAATCCTTTATAAAGTGTATTGGGGTCTATTTTCCAATACATTATTTATAACATCTTGCTTTCAATCCTTATCAGATCGATTTAAAAAATTGAAGAGATATTTTTGGAATATATATCACACATAAAAATCAAAGGAGAGACATCCAATTGAGGTTCAAAGTGCAAAATAAAAAGTCGGGAATAGAAAAGCAGTCCTAAAGAAAGAGGAGCCAAGACAAAGAGTCCTATTTTGTTTCAATGAAATCAGAAATAATCATAACTCGTAACTAGAACAATAATAACACAAAGCCAAATGTAAAAATTGAAACCTTTCAGTTATGATCATCTAACGCTTCAAACGGAAAATGGAACATGTGCAAGCTCGAATAGAACAAGTCAGAATCAGATTGAAAATAATATTAAAGTTAAATGGATAATGATCTCCAGATGATGAATATGAAATTCTCATGAACATAGAAATTGTTGAAATCTTGAAATGTAAAGGTTCCAAAGTGGATTTTGTTGTAAATTTGGAAATTAAGATGAGAAAGAAAACAGCAAAGCAAAATGTGTGAGACTAATTAATTTTGTTCTCTTTAAATATCTTCACGAAGTGCAATATTGATTGACTTTTAATCCAACATCATTCACTTGATTGAATAATTTAAAGAATAATCAGTTGCCGTTTTTTCAACTGACTTGGTGATGATATCAGCAACGTTGGCCCTTTGTATTAACGTAACTTACTGATAGATGCATATTGAAGTTAGTTTTCCAATAGAATGAAATTCACCACCACTATCCTTAGATCGATGATGAGAATATCAATGAGGGAAATGTTTCATAGCGAAGAGACTATTTCCCGATTGATTGCTAAAAACGACCAAAGTTTTAAGTACATGTGATATGCTTTGAAAGAATATTGTCCAATTTTTTCTGTCAGTCAATGAAACCTATTATGGTTCAACAATTGATAACGCAACAAGTGCTTCATTCATTCAAGACCAACAAAGGAACAAACCAGTTATGATTGTCAAGAAGCGCATTTTAGCTTTTCCGTCCGATTTTTCCATTTGCCCAATTACTGTCACGACCATCTATTAGTCGATAAGATGTTACCCGGGATTAATTCACTCACAGTTTCTTAATCAATGTTGTGAAGAAGTCTATAATCGGTATGATATGAAGTAATATTCTCATAAAGGTAATAAATGGAACACGTCCTTTGTGCTAGAAGCACATTGAAACTCTCCGATAACACCAGATAAATAATGGATTGATAAACTAGCAAATGACTTCTCGAGATGCGCTGAATGAAGTGGAATCTGGTCCTCACTGTGTTAACCAATACTTATAATCTACACACACTTAATTAAAAGTATCAATGAACATCAGCATCAATGATTGATCGTTGAAGATAAGTATCAATTCATTTGGTTAAATGTCCGTGTCATTCTTTCAATGCTCACACTTGGGAACCCGACTGAGCTATCTCCTTAAGTTCTTCTAACAGGTGTCTGTCGGCAGAATTTGACTGCCGATTAGTGGGTGCAAGGCACCAATTTTGGAGCCGCAAAATCATTCGTTGCGCAACTCCTTAGAAAAGATTCGTTCTCCTTCCCAATATGAATCATTTCGTTCTGGCCATAAGATTATCCTCCACCGATATCAATATTGAGCTTCTTGAATTTACCAACAAAGATCGATCGAAAAACTTTTGAATTTTGATATTGTGAGAGATGGCATTGTTTCTGATTTTTTGAAACCAAACTGGTGCCGCATGCTTCCAATAGAACAATCCTATATCAATTTTTAGGACATTTTTTTTAGTTGTAAGTTTTGCAGTAGAATGATATAGTTAAACTTGAATGTCTACTGACCGTCTTAGAAAAACTGTCTTGCAAACTCTTTTGCAAATACTGTGGTTGTAAACGGCCGCTAAAAAATTCAACAATCTTATTGTATCGATTTGAGTCACCGCAACATCGATATCAATTTAACTATGTCCTAGCTCTGGAAGAATCTCCTGGCACCTATTATTGCCGTTATTCATTCAGAACCATTTTCTTTCTGCTTAACATTACATCCGCTTTTTCGTTTCACAGTTCTTTTTTCTGATTGATATTGGTGATTCAAGTTGACAAACATGACTAGTCCGCTGAAATGGATCGCTTTGCCAAAGCAGATGACGATTTGGGTTGTGCGAATTGTTTCAACGTCAAAAAAGCATGGAGCAATGATATATTATAATCTCAATGGGATAGATCTGCTTCTTCAACAAGATCGCCGATTGAGTATTGGTAAGATCTTTCAACAAAGTTAATTTCACCTACGGACAATTGTGTTGCTTAATGATCAACTTCTTCAAGAACTGGTGATGATTTCATTAAGATCGAGCTATCGATACTTTTAGTTATAAATATAGATATTCAGTTGAAGAGATAGCTCTTCGTATTGTAATGATAATTTTTACGTCGCTTGCTTATTTTCATAGTGGGTCTGAGGTATTTGATAGATATTGCTTTCATATTAAAGTGTGTGCCAAGTAGCAAAAAATGGATGTTGATGCATGTATTAGATAAGAAAGAAACCTTTTGAAAATAAGTTCAACAACAAGACAGCCATTTTCACTGTTTTCCACTTGATGTTGGCTTACTGAGTTAAATATTGTGACTGTCTAATAGGCCACCCCAATTATTATATTTCCTGGCATTATTACTCATTGAGGTTGAGTTCGTCAGATGAGATCCAAACAACGCAAGAAAGGATAATGCAGGGGCACGTCAACTTATTGTGCAAATGCTTCGAGCATAAATGGATTCCGCAGCCATTAATATATTTGTTATAGATAGCAGAACTGGATTCATTGCTGGGTATCAATTTGGTCTGGAAAAGATCTACGACAGTTTATGTCAAATATTTGTTTGTCGCTCGATGACTTGAATCCAACAAATGAATGATTTACGTTCTTGTTAAAATTTTTGGGGTGGAGTCATGATTGAAAGCATGTAATTGAACACCAAATGAAGCATTTACGTTGGTAGGTTTTTTGGCTTGTTTAAGCATTGGCGATCAGGATTGATAAATAATGCCTACTGGAAATTGAATGTTAACTCGTATTGAATATCTGAATACAGCGCTCCAATATTGGATTGGAGCATTATGGCCAATTAATAGATTTACGTTGTTGCATTTTATTGTGTTGGTTCTATTCTCATCATCTCATTCTAGAATTCATATATGAGGTGCAGCGACTTGATGGATGTGGCATTACCCGATGCAGCACTCTTTAACGATGTTTGACGTGAGTTATTCACTTCTTCGATCAGTCCACACAAATTGGTTGTCAAGCTTTAGAAATCCTCACCTACTATTAATTGATTGCAAATGATTGAGCTTCGTCTGATTTGAGCTTCAGAAGGTCAGCAACAACGAATTTACATATACGTTCTGTCGAGCAAAATCCATAAGCACTATTAAATAGAGAATCTTAATCTACAGAGATATACTGCACTGCAACTGATTTGCTGTGCTGCGAAGTTTTGAACGTTTTGCGTGGCTGAAAGCTGATGAGGAAGGTTCACCATTGTTCATGCTCTATTATTACCTGTCTGAGTAAATTGATTTTTAATTAAAGTTGTCGTTTGATGCTTAAATCAATGACATTAGAACCAGTGTGAATGAAGCAAAACACATGTAGTGTTAAGAACCGAATTATTCAACCCAGCTTTTCTCATCCGAACAACTATAATTTATTGATTCTCTATCGCTAAACAATAATTTTACCTATCTTTCAATTGATTGAATCAATTTACCAAAGTTGTCATTGTAACCATTATCAGTCAATTCGACAGGCCAATCATATTTGATAGTGAGTTACCACTTAGGTGGAGATGGGGTCATAATATGCATCCAACAATAACAGATCCTCCTTTTGTAGAAATATCAACACCAATCACTTCAATGATAAATAAGTTGGCGTGTTTCTACTAGTTAATAATTCAACAGAATTCCTAACTTGACTTGTTGCACTTGAATCAAGGACGTATTCAGCACGGGAATGATGTTCAACCAAGTTGAATTCTGAGAATCTTGTTGTGATCCAATTGAAATGACCTCTTGAAGCTCTTTAGGACATTCAAGAAATTGCAGTATTTCATAAGATTGAAAGTCCATTTGGTTTTTTCAATTGGTCCAGTAATGACAATCCCAGTAAAATTGAAATAATTGGAAATCGGTGGTATCAAATTTTTCTGCTGAAAATCATTACTCAGCTGAATTGGCTTGGATATGTATTGCATACAATCCATTTCTTTAAATTTTATGATATCCCGGAAGAGCGGAATAATTGTTGGAGAATCCAAGCAGTGTGTGACATCGAGTCGGGTGCCACCTAAACAATTGTAGCTAAGGGATGTTTGACTATTGTTGTCATCTAACATAAGAAGAGCAGCTGATGGACCAGGCGATCAAAGCCTTGGATAATCGGCTGAAAAAATGACAATTTCTTTTTTCTTCCTATCTGCATTGAATTCAATCAATGTTTGCTTGACTATGATTGGACGAAAGACAACTTGGTCTAATGTGTCGAAAATCAAAAATTGTTCAACTATCATAATGAAGGTTTAAATTCCAATATTTTAGTTGTATTTTTAAGTTGTTTAAGTACAGAGGCCGCTCAGATTGACTTTTGAGCAATAATTGCAGTTCATCCTACTGTTCGATTGACCCCACTAGCGGCAACAATTCCTATTACCTTGACTCATCGCATCATCGGATTTGGATAGGCTCATAGTGATCAACGTTTGAATCAACGGCCATTCAGCACTAGTCCTAACAGAATTAATGATCATTGAGTGGTTCAACCTAATGTTCGTTTGAAAGTCGTTGTGGTCGTTGTGGAGATTCGAAAGAATCTTCACTATCACGGAAAGTGCAAATTGCAAATCAGTAAAAAAGAAATACTATATTGCAAATTATCTTATTGACCAATTTTCCGATAAAGGTTACTATATATTGTGGTTGCGTTTCGACTCCAACAATTCATTTACGTTACTTAGCTTACGATATTCGCACGAACAATCCGAGAATTGAAACAGAGTTTTCGCGCTTTATTTCACAAGTATTTGATGAACTTGCAAAAATTTATCTACAATCTAAAAGTATAGTATGATTAAATAAGCAAGGAAGTTGAGACAGAGACTCATTTAAAACGAAAGTCAATTGTACCATCAGGTATTGAACGCTCTCAACTGCGTAACTTTAACTACAATCAAATAAAATTGTTTTGTGTGTATAGGGTCCCCTTCTGCAAAATAGAACAACATTTAATGATCAAATGGCATATCGTTTTGTAAAGCTAGATAATCTTTTTTGTAAGTTTGGAATTACTTTAGATATAAGAAAATCAGGCTGTCAAACAATTTCTAGCTGAACTTACGATACATTTATCAATTGATTAATTCATGAAAAGTAGAATATGTAAATTTCGATCTGGTATGCATATTAGATCGCGTTGCAAATTTGGCATTTGAGTCTGAAGAAATGGCTGGAATGCAAACACTTTGAGACAAGTTCCACTTGTTTTTTTCGAACCTGCTTACGAACTCCAATTTCGATTGGCACTTCAGTAAACTAAATTAACTTTATCAAAAAGATTAACTAGAGTATGAAAAATAGTTGTCTCCACTTATTTCGGAGTGATGTCCGCATGATTGTCTCTGTTTAATTTAACTGAATTTTATTTGCGAATTGAAAATTTGTTCTGAAATTAAATGATGATCACTATCAATTACTTTAAATCAATTTTGTGTATAAGGGTGAGAGGAAATAGTCAGACCCAGATGATTAATTCCTTGAATACTAATAATCATCGATGGCGGATTTAGTCGACCAAAGATATGTTTGGAAACTCTATTTTAATTCTCACAGCTGCAGTTAATCAACCCTATTTCGCACCAGTAGATGACTAGGCGCCAGTTGTTTGTTAATTTCAACGGGTTGAAAGGTGGCTACCGTGTAACTTTGAGGAAAAATCTGTTTGACTACTCGTTCTAATGTTACCACCGGCCCAATCGCTATCACCAACATCGGTTAGTTGATGAAGCGTCTCCAAAAAATCATTATTGATTTTCGGGTACCTTTTTCTTGTGAAGAAGCCTGAAATCGGTGAAATTTAATGCAATATTATATTCGAAAATGGAATGAATTAGGTAAATGAATGACAAAGTTGTTGAAGCACAATGAAAGCGCCTTAAATGTGACGACTTGATTGTCTAACCAGATCCGTTGCTTCGAAAAGGATGTAGCAAATGTACCACTCGACTTGACACAATTAGCAAAACATAATCAAGTTCCGTGAATTAATCTGTCTTCTGAGTAATTACTACCATGACGGATTCTTGATATAACTTAATTTTCAAATCCTTGAGCAAAATGTTCTTTCAATCTTTTTAATTGTTCTACTTTGACTTCTGTTTGTGGTTTCTCAATAGAAGCAATTGACTAATTAAGGATTCCACAATTGGTCTTCACAATTCAAATCGGAAAAAAAAACGTTTGATATTTTTGAACGTTTCGATGAGAAGCCGTTCAAAAAAAATGGCTTACCTATTATTTTATAATATTGTCCTTTTGCACAAATCAAAATATCAACAACAAGGATAGATATCTGCAACTTGAATTTTAATTCAAACATAAATCAATCAATCTCAACAGTTGTTATTTCTAGTTTCAGAAAAATATTTCATTGTAGTGAGCCAGAGTTGTGGGGCTTGCTACAAACCATGCCCTCTTTGAATTTGCCTTCTAGCATCGACTTCTCATGTGTGAATCCATGAGGAAGATCAACTTCAAATGCACCGTAAGCAGATCCATTGAGATGCTGCGTTTTGCTTTAATTTGGCGAGCAATGTTGTTTTTTATAGTGGCTGACCAATTCATCAATTTGAAAATATCATATTTCATAACAGGACCATTAACATCAGTATAGTTATTGCTATGTACTAGAGGAAATCATTTTGTAACTAATTTCTTGATAATCCGTTTAGATCCGTTTGTTTCAGGTTAAACATCGAATATCAATTACCTGTTGAGTATTTCGGATTTGACTCAGTTCCGTGGACCCAATGAATCCTGTTGATTTTTTTCATTTGAATTGATCTCGATTACTATGACAGATAGCCTTCACGATTTTTGTGCGCTTGTTATATCAACGGAGAAAAATGCTGGAATCACGTGTTTTAATTCGTACGGAAATGAATTCGCTTTTCTTACTTTTATTGGATCGAATGAGCTTTGAGAAGGATCATCAAATAGGAATTCATCACCTATGACGGAATCTGCCGGTTAAACTTTTACAATCTGAAAAATTTGTCGTGGATTCAATATACCTTAAATCCCATTGTTTACACTAGAAAACGTAATCATCCGGCTAACGATATATCATTCTTTGTTGAAATCATCGTTCATACGTCGCATGGTAATCTCATTAGTTATTGTGATGTTTATCATAAATTTGGTTTTGGAATCAGACACGTTGCTGGAAGCAACCCTTCGGCTAACGTCGGCTGAAGTACTGCACTATTAAAAATTGCATAAGACATATCCTCAATAATAGCTGCAGCAATCGATTGCAACATCTCCTTGCAGGATGCAATATAGAAACCTATAATACCGTTGCTTAGTGGTTCATTGATTTCAGTGTCCTCTTTGATATTAATACTTATTTCGGTTGAGTGTGAGAGTTGATGTATAAAGAAAGAACGAAAGGGTGTGGAAAAGGAAATTCAATTATCCGTTACAGGGCTTGGTGCTTGATTGACTTTAGCTAGTATTGAATTATTTGATTCAAATGGATAAATTCGATTGTTAGTACCGAATAAATGTGTTTAGAGTTTCTTCCGTTGGTTTATCTACAATGAATATGCAACTTTGTTGGACGAGTTAAATCCAATAGATCTAAGTTGACTGCCTTTCATAAAAGTTCATTGTCGGACAATTTGATTGATAGAAAAAGTTTCAATTAAAGAAGATGCGTCGACTGTAGCAGTCATTCATGATTAAAA